TCTTAAATGGCAAAAACCATCGACAACAGACGAAAAACCGCGCAGTTTAAGTGTTTCTATCTTAGTCTGTGGATTTACGAATAGCCAAATTAGATCTGGGTTATAATAAATCAATAAATAATATACCGTCAGTAGTCTACGGGAGTAGTACACATTTGAGTAAAGCAATACGGCTTGACTTTTCGGATGCTTTGCAGCAGACATGGTCACGGGGAGACTGCAGTTAAATTTATTTGCATATAAGTTTAACTCATATATGTATATATATATTATATAAATCAAATACTGTCTATAGTTTACGCGAGTAGTACATATTTAAATAAAACAACGGGCAGTTTCGCCAAATACCAACTTCGACAGAACAGACCACTAGCAATTTTTTACTTTGACGTCAGAGACATCCTCCGTCTTAGTCTCCCCGTGACTACGGCTGCTGCAAAGCATCCGAAACGTCGGGCCGAAGTTTAAAATCATTTTCAAATAAGTTTAACTAATATATCGCGTTTTAAACCGTTAATGTGTTTTATTTAAATATATAATCGTTAAAGTGTTTTTTTACTGGGGTATTTCTTGCTTGTCTGCCCTCCTCTATCATAATAATAAAAGTGTAGACAACATAATATCTCAAGATTTTTATAAAAACACTCGATATCATAAACATTTTTTAAATGTTCAGCACAAAAGTAGAGTGAATATTTTATGAGAGTTACGTAGGTACATTACATGATAATGAAAGCCTTGCATTAATATTGATTTATGAGTTAAATATTCTTTGTTGACAGTAATGTTTTCCACATGACTGTAAACAAAGAATATTTTTTAAAGCATTTTTAGTTTAGCAAACAAACATATTTGGAATTCCCCAAACATGTTCCTATATTTATATGCGTCTTCGTATTTATTTTTGCGATATTGTTGAACGTTATGAGTAACAAATAGTTAAGATATCTGTGCCCTGTTCGACCAAAACAAACGAGGTCCATAGACTCTGATAAAATTTGAGAGTAAAAAGATTGTTTAAGAAAATAAATAGAGATTTATTTTATTTATGTTTATTATTAGATAGACTTTTATAAAGTTAATACAGTTTCTTCAATAACTATAATCTCAACTCTACTTAACATAACATAAATCTAAGAGAAAGGCACTTGAGTGCGTGTCCAAACTATTGATCGAGTTTTTTAGTAAGCATACATTCCCATACTTTTTTATTTAAGCTTTATACTTATAAAAGAAATCTTGTTTCTATAACTGTCTCCGTATGTCAATGCTTAAACGTGTTTAAATTCAAGCTAAACGTATTTCTCATTGCTTCTGTCAGACACGACTTGACAGTTATATAAATTGAACAGTGAAACAGACACAGAATTGTGTTTGCCTTATGCATGACGAGGTGGGCTTGGTCTTCTTTTTCATGTACCTACTCTTTGAATTTTAGAATCAAAGGTTGTTTGTGGTTTTAAATACATAATCGGCACTTTTTTTAGTGCTAAGTTGCTTTTAAGTGTTTTCATTATGTATTTAGTTGGTAACTTCCTTTAATAAATAAATAACCTATTCTTACTCCGATCTTTTATAATATTCAAGTATCTGATACGTTGAAAACCATTTAGTAATCTCTACGTGGTTAATCTACACAACCTCCTTTGTCTAGAAGCTTTCTATAGCTAAAAGTTTTCATTTAAGCGTGAAGTAGTTTTACGCTGTGTAAGTTATTGATTTAACAGCCCTACGCAGACTATGAAACCCCTAAATTGCACTTGCTGTAGTCTGTGTTTCCACCACAGATTGCAAATTAAATTATACGTTTAACCGCCATTTGTTGACGTTTTTCAAAATTTATGTTTCATTCAAGCAATTTAAAAAGTTGGCACTTCATTCACATACGAGTACAATCTGTTTTTTTATAGATTTTATTTAATTGGTACCGTCGTTTAATAGAAAACGTTTGAATTTGTTTTAGAAATACAGATTAAAAATATGCGATGAACTCTGAAAGTTATCGCGTAATCGTTTTAAAACACGAATAGGATAAATTAACAACTTCGCAATTGATCAAACCTTTATTTTCGTGACCTATATTCGTTTTATAAACCTTTACAGTCTTTTGCCACCATTAATAACGCTTTCGCTGCGTGTCTTTGAATGCCTTCTTTACATAATACCGTAACCATGGCAACGTCGGGGCGTAAATTATCCCATATATTACGCGTTTTAAAGCATCAAAAGTGCTCTTAATTATTTTTAATTTAATATATAATATATCGGAATTAATATGAGGCCGCTAGGGACAGAGTAGCCTAACTGCAGTTTTTATGACACGAGTTATTTGTACTATCATTGTCTAAAAATGTTAATCTACACAGTGACCGAAAATTATGAACTTATTTCTCACACAAATAATAGTACAAATTCATTTTCGCCTAAGTTGATTGCGCATTTTATTTTCTTCCTTATTGAAAATCATGTTTTGTGTTATAGGCCACTCTGCCTCTAGCACCCTCACATTAGACAATGATAAACAATGTGTTACATGTTTACATTATATGTAAATCATTTATTTGGTCTTTATCAATGTGCAAAAGTCATATTAAAATTTGATATATATTATCTATTACGCTTAAATCTATTTTAAACGCCGCCATGTGATATTATCGTTATCATATTAGATGTCCGGACTAATTTGATTGTGTAGTGATTATTAATAATGAATAAGTAAAAGATTGTGCAAAATAATAATTTTCCTTGGAATTTCAAATACGACCCGACGCACATGACCAGAACTCCCGTAACACAGCCGATACGTCAAGAAGTAGATAAAATATAAACTAACTTATATACGACACGGGCCAGACTTGAACCATCCACAGCGTTCAGTGCTATTGCTCTGTCAAAAATTTCATCTAAATAATAATACATATGAACTTAATCTAATCTAAATGTGATGATATTACTTACCTATACCAAGCCAAATGGTTAAATAAGTTGCTAAGCATTTGGATTCGAATTCCGGTGAAAATTGATTGTTTCGTACAGGCAGGGCACACACGGTATGATCTACTACTTGCCTGTTAATTAATCCGTGGAACGAACACAGAAAATCCACTTCTAAACACACAGGTACATATTTGCAAATCGCATAACTCCAATCAATTTACCGTAATGCGGAGTCTACACAAAATCAATACGCTAACACCTTGCCAAGTTCGGCGCCAGACCCTAGCTTTCACCAATTTATTACGTTTCAGCTTTGAACCCAAGCTTTATTACCCACATATTTCAATGACACGGCTCAAAGAATATATAAGAATGGCTTTGAGGAATCTAGTTCCATTATTCTGAGAACTATCTGTATACCTCTACTATACAAGTACAGTGTATCTTCTCTCTATTGCAGAATCTAAGGAAGCATATTTTTCGTTTTAAAGAAAGATTTTAGGGTTAATACCAATATGTTGCTTTTAGAGACTATCTTTTACCTTTAACTATGGACAATGTATATTTTTGTTTGATTTCTGTGTTCTCAAATAAATAACCAACCATACAGTAGCTATTTTTTGTTATAGAGAGTTTACATTAAATATGACGTTTTTTAATTATACACGATATGCTGATTTTTCAATATACATAGAGTAGAGCAAGAGCACGGAAAGCTGACGATGGCGGTTCAAGTCCTGCCCGAGTCGAAAAAATTTTTCAATTTATTTTTGATTTTTAAATTATACATAGAGTATCTAAAAAAGTATTGTCTGTGGTCTATCACGGCTGCTCTAAAGCCTCTCAAACCTAGGGTCGTAATTAAAAGTATGTTTACTTAAAAACGGTTAAAGCGAATATATTCGTTAACTTATTTTAATTACATACTAATCTTAACTATAGAAATTATCTAATATTTACCCTATTATTTTACTATTATTTATACTAATGCCACCTCTTTTTTATCTTTTTATCTTCTATTTTTACGGTTAGAAATCGTCATATAGATATAATTTATACAGCCTAAATCACTTACACTATTACAAATCGATTATATTGAAATTGGCTGGCTATTTTGGGGTCCGACGAACATACATAAAATCAGAAATATCCTCCTTTTGGATTTGCGAATGTCGGGTGTTCAAGAAGGTACACAGCTAGATGTTTGCAAACTCTTGCAGACGAAGCTGTCGAGCGTATAAGGGTGTAACCTATTTTCATAATAAAGCAGTTTGCTCAGTAGTTAGTAACGGTAGAGCCTGGAACGCCAGTTAGACCGATGACAGATAGAGACAACACAGGCGTAAATGTCTTGGATCACGCGAACACTCCCATCGACTTGACATCATTATATTGATTAAAATTAAATTGTGTTTAAGTCACGGAATGCTATGCTCATTTTTGGCTTGCTTGTATTTTGTGTTATGACATGTAAAAACTTTACTATTTTTCACATGTTATTGCACATGGCAAATATAAATTAAAAATATATTTAGATTGACAATTACACAAGTGGGAGGGAACCGCCATACACAGGGTTGCTCTAACGGTCTAACCCATAAAGCAACCGTGTTTGAGGGTTTTCGCTTGGCTTTGCCACTATCTCTCTCGCTAGCATTTGTTTTTATGATAGGCAGTGGTGGAGTTCAGTTGATGGTAGGTGAAATACCCCAGCCATATAACATCCGCTGTCGACCTATTTTGGCTTTTGGATATTAGGAAATCCACAGTGGAAGGCATTTGGATATTAGGAAATCCACAGGCTATAACCGGAAAGCGTATAAACGCGCGGTTTTTCATCTGTGGAAGGTAGATCGTGACCCGTACGGGAATTTCGATATTTCTACCACCCATTTAATATTTAGGAAGGATAATAACAAATTTTATATATGTTGACACAACAGTAGGTACCATATAGTGTACTAAACAGGGGAAAAACAATCATGTTATAGATATTCTTCTATGTATACTTTCTAGTATTAGATGAGTATGGGTAACAAGGAGTTTTAATATCTTATTTTCAGATGGATGGCACCTGTGAGTCTGGCTATTCACGCGCCTGGCGCCGACCTGACTCCCACGGTGAACAGCATCAGATACCTGCGAGATTGCCTCAGCAATGAGCTCGTGAAGCAGTTTGTTACGTTCCACATCTTTTTCTCGCATAAACATATACCTAGTAAGGTTAGTGTTCCCTGTCATTCTACCTTTATTCTTCTACTTCTTCTTGATATAATGGCTTTCCAATTCTATATGGATTCGTCAAATGTCACGTGTCTATGGTAAGAACGAAAAGGCGTGGTAACATAAATTATTTGTTCTTTTCTTTTCTTTTACCACTGGCATTAAGAAGCAACCATTTTTTTGTAACTAGTTGTGTTAGCGACTTAGTCTGTAACAGAAGAAAGCTTAGCTGTCAGTTCTTCTGAACTATTCTGTTAGTTTCTTCATTCCGCTATTTTTAAATGTACAGAGACGCGACTTCTATAATTGTATTTTAGTAGACTATCTGCTTGAGTAAGAGCTAACTCTACGTGCGGTAAATTACGTTGAATATGTTTTAGCTTACGAAGTTAAAACGAAGGTTAAGTGTATTAAAAACTTTTGAGTCCTTATATAATCTCATTAGCTTCACCCGAGAGGGCTAGTGAAGAAACAATTTAGTTTAAAAGTATAGAAGACTACATGTGTCGTATTTTTAGTGAAAAGAATCCTTACTAATATTATAAATGCGAAAGTAACTCTGTCTATCTGTCTGTTACTCTTTCAAGCCAAAACTACTGAACGGATTTGATTGAAATTTAGTACACAGATGGTCTAGACCCTGAGAAAGGACGTCGGTTTTTTATTGCGAAAAGGGGGTTGTAAGGGGTTAAGGGGGGGGGGAGTGAAAGTTTGAATGGAAATTCGTGGTTTTTGAAGCTTGAACAATGAAAATTTTTTCTTTGACTTTTTGGGAATAGGAGTGAGAGTGAGAGTGATTAGAGTAGGAGTCATGTGAGGCAAGAGTGTTGCGGCAAAGTAGCACTTACAACATACATTGCCTGCGATAAATGCGCAATTACCTAAATTAATAAACAGCCTAAAGAATTAAAAATTCTACCCCAAGTCACTATTTTACGCGAACGTAGTCGCGGGCACAGCTAGTATTTAAATTGTGTACTACGCAAGGATCAAAGGATACAATAGCATACCTTCGATTTCAGATACCAGACCCAGATGCCTTACTTCAGACTCCTTACAACTGCACAGCGAAGCCTCCATACGAAAATGTGAACTCCACATACATGAAGGAAAAGAATTTATTGTACCCAGTGAATGTCGCTCGGAACATAGCGAGGGACGCCGCTGTCACGCACTACATCCTTCCATCCGATATCGAATTGTATCCTAGTCCAAATCTAATACCAAGATTCCTAAATATGATCGCGAGGAACGCTAAGCCTCTGAGCACCTCCACGAAGCCCAGAGTGTTCCCCATTAGTATATTCGAGGTGGACGCCAAATATCAGGTATTGTATATTTCAGTTATTTTTTTTATGATATAGGAAGACTGGCAAGCATAGTTCTCACTTGATGGTCGGTGTCCCCATATACCTGACATCATCATAAACAAGATGTGCCGTCCATTTTAACTTTGGATATTCGAAAATCCACAGACTGAAACCAAACGCTATTAAACTTGACTCCATTGTCATCTGTGGACAGTGGTTAGTCACCTGGACGGAATTTCGATATTCTGATCACTCATTTAATATCCAGATTTCCAGACGTCACGTGTTCCAGAAAAATTTTAAATTGTTTGAAAATATGTTGGATATGTGTGGATCGAACCACGACCCATTGATTATTTATTAGCAATACAAATACCATTATAACGAGACCGTCAAATAAGCTCTAAATTAAATGAAGTTTTATATAGAAACTTTACTGAAGTCAAATGTTAGGCATTCCTCTTTCAATAAGTTGGTAATAACATTTTGGTACCGATAAATAATTTTATGTTACAGGTGCCATCTTCAAAAACAGAGCTCCGAGCTATGTTGGCGAACAAAACGGCCATACCATTCCATAAGTTCGTGTGCCCCAACTGCCACAATATACCCCAGGGGCAACAATGGATGAATGCGGTCGAGACCAATCGTACGTAAACTCATTATTAATTGATTTCGCCAATGACTACATTTTCAGCTCTGCCTATTAAACACGTAATTTTGCATTGTACGTTGTTTTACTTGTGTGTATAGTATAGTTTAGATTTTGTTGTCCCTACAACGTCAGACAATTTTTCTTTACAACATTGACACCTTATGACGCGGTTTTTTTTAACATGCTTGAAAATTTGAGCATTATATTTACATGATTCTTCGAAATAAATCGAACTTTCTGTACTGATCGAACAGCGGCAGCCAATAGTCATAAGAAAATCCATATCTGTCGTGTTAAGCGGCCAAATAAAGTACTGTGTAAAATTATATTTGTCGTGTAATTTAAAAATCGAACGACTTTCTTATGCGCAACATATTGACCAAAGAGGTAACTTACAAAGGTTTTATTTAAATTGAATAACTGGCTGAAAAAATAACTTCAACAGCTGTTTAGTAAAAAAAATACTTTGGCGGATAAAAATATTGTTATTAGTTATTAATTAACTCAAATATTTGTCATTTTTATTTAACTTGTTAATTGATTATAATAAATAATAAATTTATTATAGCATAAGTATTATGACACCGTGTTTTTTCATTAATTCCAAAGACATATTTTCCCGTTTCACTTCGGTTTACGTCATTTTTTTAAATGACAAGAAAATGGAACTAATGACCGTCGAATGTCGAACAGCTCCAGGTCCGTTAAAAGCAAATAGTGTGCGATTACACAAATTGGTAGCACTTCCCGTCTAATTGCAGCATAGCGCCAATTAATCTCCGAAGTGTCGGTATCGTGAGCTACTTATACCGTAAATAGTAGTCCGTGGACTGCGTATGGGGCATTCTAATTGTGTATTATGGTTCAACGACCGCGCTACCCGTCGTTCCCAGACGCTTGGCTCCATTCTTACGCTAATTTGCAAAATTGCAAACCTCTGCAGCCGCGCACTCTTGCGCAAGACCGCTCGCTTGACGCAACGATCGATTTGTACGGATTTGATGATATCAGCAATTTTACACGCTGTGTCAATGCATACGTGAACTTTTGCGATGTTGGATTAAATTATCTTATATAACCGTTTCGTCAATTATAGTAATTCTAAATCGCCTCTTTGCTTAACAGAGAAGAATTCCAAATAAAATAATCTGTCTGTTCATTCATATTTATCAAAAAATTTATGTGGGTAAAGTATATAATTAGAACAGAATACTAAAAAAGAATAAACTTTATTTATATGCATTAGTTTAAATTGTCTTTTTAAGTACTTTTGCGTTATAATAGATATGGTTGAGGTAACATAGACTTTTTAACTTAGGACGCAAATGAAAAATTATTAATTTAAAGATCTATCCGCTAAAGTAAATTAAAAAGCAAATCTTTAGGACAAATAACTATTGTCCACCTGTCTATAGGTTTGACAAAATCAGCTGCAAATTAAATTTTTAATTTAATTACTGCAATATTTATATACTGGCGCAAATCACTATATCGTATAGTATAGTTTATTGATAAACAGGAATTCCTACGAACTACATTCCTACATTGAACACAGTGTAAGAACCAATATTCGATTGGATATAAATATTTTATTAAATTTCCATGTGTTTTTTTTTATAACTACGTTACGGTAGAGAGAAGCTACTTATCTACAAATATCATAAGTTTGATATAATCTTTTACTTTTTAAATTATAAACCCCAGTAACATAGTAAATCAAAGTTTGTCAAATATAATATCGTGTTGTATTTTCAGAGATGGACGTTTTCCATGTTGGTAAGCGACGTGGAAAGTTCGTGCACTGGGAACCAATTTTCATCGGGACTCATCAAGATCCTTACTACGACGAACGTCTCAGCTGGGAAGGGAAGAAGGACAAGATGACGCAGGTGATTTTATAAATTGTTATATCTATTTTTTTTTTGTCAAAACAATAATGTTGATGCAAATATTGAGTTTAAAAACGCGTGTCAAATTCCAGTCGAAATATCTCCTATTAATTAAATTTAAGAATAATTACGTTTCTTGTATAGCAGCCATCTTATTTTTCCTATTCTTTATATGTGTTGTCAAAAGTGAAATAATGAAGGAATACATAATATTTCATCATCTGTGGGATTTTTCACTGCGAGATATTATAAAATTAGTTATAAAACGTTCAGTTTTCAACTTTCAATAATCAAAATACTATTTAATCACTCCATAGACAATATTATAAGTAAAAATCTAAATAGAAAGTTAGAGTAACAGCCACAGAACAAAAACATTATAGTTTTTAATTGTTAAAGTCTGTAATTTCATCTTCAATGATTTAAACTGCAAAGCGGAACCTTAATTCGCAAGTGTTAAAGTATTTTTTTTTCAGGGCTACATTCTCTGCGTAAAGGACTACGATTTCATGATATTGAACAACGCGTTCCTTATACACAAGCCCGGCATAAAACATTACGTGAAGAACGCAAAGAGGGATGCCATAGCTGGACGTCAGTCCGCCTTCGTCAAAAACATTATAATGCCCGAATTGAAAAAGCTTTTCGGAACTAGGAACGGTTGCGCTCTGTGACGAAAGTAATCTTTAAAATTCGAACTGAGCCCTAATTCTAGCAATTCACGAGGGAGTAATGGCTATCGGCAGACCATTAAGAGGCCAGTGAAAACGGTATTCTGTTAAACACGATAATGTCTCGACAGTGATAAGCTATGTTAGTATATCACCAAATTAGTGAGAAATAACAGAATTGGGCTTATTTAATTCCACAACGCTAAATAGGCGAGTTGATCCACCAGAGGACACTTTGATATAGCTAAGAGAGAAAATTCGAATTACTAGTGAGTAGTAACCTCCTCGAACATTGTTTGTTATAGTGTTTCGCTAGATTTTTCATTCGCAAAGATGAAAATATCAATGGTGTCGTTTTGGTGGACCCACGTTGAATTTTTTACATTATCTGCGAGTACAGGGTGCGATTTTCCGCCTGCCTTTTATACATTTTTATACGCGGTGACGAGTGTAAACGAAACATATCATTGTTTATTCAATAATTTTAACTTAGACAATATCCAGTGAAGTGAACGTTCTGTGTCTTAAAATGAGTATATTTTTTAAACTTGCGATCCCATTTTAGTGTGGCGCCATCCATAAAATACGTCACACGCAATTAATTTTTACCCCTGAGACTTCGAGTGACGTCACATTAGCATTTAGCGGCTTTGGACTATTAGCGAATTGTGACGTCATTAGCTTTTAAACTTCTGACGCACAACTCTCAACGTGTGACGTATTTTATGATTGCCCAACTGTCATTTAGTCTTGACAACTCTGTTAAAAACCGAGTGTAGAGGTATCAAAACCAAGTCCATCAAGTTTCCTACGATATGATATTCAAGGCCTAAAGTCATTTTATTTAGTTAAGTAGAACGAAGTATATTTTGCTATTGTAAATAGGTATTCTTGTGCGATATTATTTTGTTCAAGTAAAGGGGACACTTGACTGTATTATTTAAGTGCTTCTTTACTGCGCAATCTTTATTTTTGTATTAAGATTATGCATACTTATTTGCGAGGTAAAGAAAGTAAATATTCAAACGTGTGATAGAGCCATGATATTATTGTTTGTTTTTTAACAAATTGTTTAGGTCGGAGCCTTTCTCGCAAATAGGTATATTTAGTTTGTAAAGCTTTAGTATCATTTAATTATAATCTCATATTGTGATTCCAGTGTACTAATTCAGACGAGTCGAAATTTATTTTCAAGATTTTTATATGCCAGCACAAATCGTAAACCACATGATATTCCTGATTATGCATTTTATATGAATATTATTGTATACATATTAGGTACGCTACTGAGACCAATTTGATGGACCATATTTGACATTACACTAAAATTCGACAGTAAAACCTTGTTTCGGAATATCTAAATCAAAAAATAAATTAATTTTAAATTTCTTTCATCTGTGGAGGATGGGGAATTTTGATGCCAATGTGATATTATGATTTTTCATTTAATGAACAGAGCCTTATAGAAAACCATTTTAATTTTTAAATAATTTTAATTTTTAGCTCCACCTACACTTACACTCCTTAAAAGAAATGGTAAAAAAAAAACAATTTATATCATCACGCCTCCCATAGATACAGTCATGACATTAACAGAATCAATTTAATTGCAAAGCCATCAAACTAAGAAGAACCCGTGACATGTCAATTGTCACTATTAATGTTATATCAAATTTAGCATATTAAATTGGTCTTACTATACAAATTATGGAGGTAGGAATCAAATAAGTCACTATTTTGCTTAGATATTTAAACTTAACGATAAGTGCCAGTCCGATTTCATTATATGCCTATTTTACGTATAGAAATAACTTTGGTAATATTCAATATAAATTTTTGTATAAATTAGAACTGTGTTTAAAATGGCCTTATAATACTGGTAATGAGTGCTTAAACCCACCACGTTCGACCTAGTTAAGTTAGATTTTCATTTTCCATTTTGCTAAGAGCTACAAAAATGCTATTAAGATTTTGTTGAAGCTTCTATATTTATTCTTCTTAATGTAAGTCGTTTAGCTGTATGGGTTTGGTAATGGTAAATGCATGTGGTGGGTTTCCACTCGCGGCTCTGTAATGTGTTAGGTTATATTTGGTCTTAATATGTGATCATCAACCTTTAAAAAATTGGTTTATAGTCTTATCCTTAGCATAACTGCCTCCGAAACACCAATCGCCAATTGTCAAACACGTTGCGCATGCGCAGGTTTCTGATTCGTCCTATTCGTTCGGGCAAGGCATAGAAACCTGTAATTACAATAAATTTGGCGATAATTTAGCAGCATTGTTTCAGTAAATGTTTAAGTACATTGATTTGGGAATTATTATATGCTAAGGATAAGATACAAAATAATTAAGATTGTACCTACATTTAATTTTATCAACTTAGGGTACGTTAATTGAAAGTATAAAATCGACAGGTATCGTGTACTCAGAAATAAAAAATGTTTATCTACAGCGGTGTATTTTATTTTAGTGTCTAAAAGCTCAAAAAGTAGTAATATTTGTTTAATATTATTTTGTTGAAGTGGTCAACGTTCTTGGGGAACAACATTTTATAAATATGTCATGAGGTGCCTACACTCACTTAACGCCTGAAAAAGATGACGATGTACGTGGCCAAACATTGGAGTTGATTTTTATATACTAAGCTCCTAGGCTTATCTAATTATCTATACTAATATATAAAGCTGAAGAATTTAATAGTTTGACTGCGGCAATCACAGGAATTACTGATTTGAAATGAAAATTTCTTTTTGTGTTGATTAGCGTATTTGTCGAGGATAGGCTTTAAAACATCGCAACATATAGGAGCGAAGACACAGCGAGAAACGTGGTACACGGAGAAAATTATTCTTCCTTCCATTTAGTGTTGCGTACGCTACGAAGACGGTTAAAGATACGGAGATAAATATTCCTCTTTAAATGACCTAAAATTTTGTCCGAGACAGTATGTCTCTTTTTTAAGAATAACTAGCAAGAACAACGGGACGCGGACGACTATAATTTAAGGGACGAAATTGCTGATGCATCTAGTTAATATAAAACATAAACGTCTCTCCAAATCTGCGGTATCAACACTCATCCGAAGGGCCCAATCACTACATTCGCTTTGACCAGCCAAAAATCCTCGCAAAGGTGAGCCGATTTTTTCCAAGATTGGTACGCGAAGCAATTGAAATAAAGAAACACCGAAATTTCTATAGGGAGGACGGCCTCAAATTATCAAACACCTGGGATCTCATATTAAAAACTCTGGATCCCAATAAAAAGCATAACGGCAAACGCGAAGACACCGTTAGCCAATTCTGCAAGGACCCGGCCAGTTTCGCCAAATACCAACTTCGACGGAACAGATGGCGCTAGCGCAGCAATTTTTTACTTTGACGTCAGAGACATCCTCCATCTTTAGTCTCCCCGTGACCACGGCTGCTGCAAAGCATCCGAAACGTCGGGCCGAAGTTAAAAATCAATTCCAAATAAGTTTAACTAATATATCGCGTTTTAAACCGTTAAAGTGTTTTATTTAAAAGCATCTAGTTAAATTTAAGAGCAATACTGTATTTTCATAGTATACGCCCTAAATATCATTAGGAATGTTGCGAATCCCAAATTACCGGGACATTCCGCACAGCGTGGCCCCGGAATACAGATGAGGCAGCGGCTAATCGTGACAGAGATAAGGAAGTTGATCTTAGGATACGTGCAGGGCATTAAACAGAAACAATTTTAACATTTTTTGTCGACAAATGAATAAAAACTCTTCTAACTTTGAAGAAAAAATGTTGTTTTGTTTTCAAATGAGACCCTAGAGGCAGAGTAGCCTAACTGCCATTTTATGAGTTATTTATAGTTTGATAGTATAAAAATGTTAATCTTAAGAGCACAGTTATTGAAAATTGTTAATATAATTCTTATCAAAATAATAGTACATATTCATTTTCTCCTAAGTTAATTGCGCATTTTTATTTTCCACCTTGAAAATCGTGGTTTTTTGTTATTAGGCCACTCTGGCTCTGGCAGCCTTAAGTGGTATCTATGAAGTCAATCACCTCCACCAAGTCATGAGATTACATTACATCTATCTGATGGCAGGTGAAATTGTATTTATTAAACTTTATAATTATATACACAACACAGGAATGGTTTACATTAATAAAAACTTATGGACTAGCTTATAAATAAAAGGCGGTTTTGTCACTACCTAAACACCGATGTCTTCCAGATATGAAGTGGAAGGTTTGAACAAGGGATTTACCCTAGCCATAAAACAGCAAAGTAAAATTCGCTGTCAACCTATTTCGGCTTTGGATTTTCGGGAATTTACAGAAAAAAACTAAAACGCAATTAAAGTTTCAATTTTTATCTGTGAACGGTGGTATGTGGCCCCGAAGGAATTTTGGATATTCCTGCCACCCATTTATCCAGATTTCCAGATGAAGTCCAACATGCTTCAGAAAAATAAATATATAAATTGATTAGAAACATATTGTACACAGGGGAGAATGAACCCGCGACCCGTTAATTGTCAGGTACATTACACCAACGAGCCCACAAGTTATTCAATATCCCGTTATTCCTCTTATTTAAAGAAGTTTTAAACAAGAAACATTTATCTTTTTTTTAAATATTCTGTGGCAATGAATTTTTGTTATCCTGCATTTAATTGCACCAAGGCTATTTATGACACATACCGACTATATTTGACATTATAATAAATATGTTTCCCCTAACAATGGAGATCGCAACGATAAAAACACCTCTATATTCGTTCATGATTAACATACTGATTAAGACATATCTGTAGTTTACATGAAACACACAAATAAATTAAAAATACTAAAACGCGAAGTTTCACTACCTCTGACTAAATCTTTAAACGTGCTGCCTAACATTGGCGTTAAGCGCGAGTGATCCTGGGTTCGAATCCCTGTGAAACAATAAATAGTTTCGGTCTGGCAGAGCGAAGAAGTATAGTAAAAGAGCCGATCAGTGAAACGGACATAGAAATGTGTTCGTCCCACGGGGGGAAACGGGATCCCACTTCTTAAAACGCCAATTATAATTTAACACTGTACATCTCTTTATATTTCTTTGGTCTAATCTGTGTCTACTTCAATCGTATACAACGATATTATGTTAAAATTTACTTGTAAGTAGTGCGACAGACGGATGACAACCAGGTCTTAATGAATTCTCCAGATATCGAACTAAACTCGTGATCTACCTTCTATACACCTAAACAATAATAATATAAATTAAAATGATTTGATTGAAAAATTTTTTGACACAGGCAGGGCAACCGCATCAGCGTTCCGTGCTGTTGTCCTGACCAATTGACCTACTTGTTAAACGATCTTGTTCATTTTTAAAAATGAATTTAATACGTGCATTTTGGCTCCATCGGTTATATTGCGGATGCCGGTTCAAGCCATGTACGTGTCGTGTAGTTATTTGAATCTAAAATTGATTTTTGATTTATATAGTGCCATCATGTGTATTTACACATACATGTGAAAAACATTGAAGTTTTACAAAATATATCACTTACATCATCAAGCAAGTAAAATTTGCGATGAATTTAATGTATTCACAAATATTGCACAACTGAAAACATTGCATACAGCCATGTCATCTCGAGACATCGCCATTAGCGTGTCCTGATGTAAGAGGCGTGGCTGGGACCAGGTTTCACAACACGGATTGTCCCCGTGGTCTGTCCCCAAGGTCGCGGAATCATCTTCTGACCGGCCATTCAGTAGTGGTGAGCTCGCGAGGTCGTGTGGTTTACAGGTAGAAATGAGATTCTTAGTTATTGTGGCGTGCGTTTGCGCCGTGGGTGAGTATTAATTTTATTTATAAATTATTGCTATATTAATAAATATTAAAAAAAATCATACATTAATATTGTTTAAAAATTATAATTAATTATTTATTTCAAATATTTTAATATCTTAAATAAATACTTAACTATTATATAAATATACACAATTGCCAACATGTTTCTGAGTTTATTGAGCATAACTATAAACATATTGTGACGTTAATTTCATTTTTTTTGGTGAATATAAAATTTAATTAAGTTTATTCGTTAATTTCATTCTTTTAAATAAAATCTTTACATTCCTTTTTTGAAAAACTATACAACTTCAAATTCAAATAAAGAATTTCACACCAATATATAAGTTTGTATAAAAATAAGAATATCAAAGATAAATATATAAATAAGTAGTTAGAATTAAATACATAAGCGCCAAGAAAATTAACAACACATAAATACTTTGCTGTGGGTCACTCAGCTGTTGCTGCAACAAAAGAGTTGCTGCAACGTCGATTTTCAGTGAATGCCTAATGCATATTACCTATAAAAGTAACGTAAATAAGGTTTGAATTCCATTTTCTCTATGTAAGGAATTTCTGTGGCCAATACTCATTTATGGATTGTATTTACATGCAAGAAGAAATTTCTGTGCCCTGTCCGACCGAAAATATTATGATTTCCAAGTTTCGAAATCACGTCCTCTCGTGCCTAACGCAATCCATAATCGTTGACCTATAGAGGCATTTTTCAAGATAAAGAAGGATATACAAGCTAAGGTTCATTTGATGCTAAGCGAAATACACTAGACATATCACACAAAATGCGTTGTCGGCCTATTTTGCCTTTGGATATTCGGAAATCCACAGAAACCGAAACGCGATTAAACTTCAAGATTTTTTTTCATGTGTAGTCCATGGTTCGTGGCCCGGACGGAACATTAATATTCCTACCGCCCATTTAATATCAAATAATTTAAATAAAACACTTTAACGGTTTAAAACCATATATTAGTTAAACTTATTTGAAAATGATTTTTAACTTCGGCCGACGTCGGATGCTTTGCAGCAGCCGTGACGGGAGACTAATGAATGTTGGACCCGATGGGGATAGAACCCACGACCCGTTGGTTATAAGGCATACGTAATACTCCAACGAGCCCGTCAAACCGCCACGCCCGTTCGCACTTAAAAAATAGTAAATACAAAAATATATGTTTTAAGTGACCCTCCTTAAGTGACCTTCTCTGTAGAATGCTAATGTCCATCTTAAATCTTATTTGACCTAATCAAAATATCAATGTCGCTTATCGTAAATCAAGGAACTCCATTAATTTAGCGAACCTTGGTTTTTGTTAATTCCAGTAAGATCACTTGGTTTTTACGTATACATTAATTTTTGTATTAATTAGAATATGACGCGTTAATAATATTCAATAATACTTTTAGCTGCATCAAACTTCTGTGTGAAATAAAAATGTAGCTAATATAGTTTGCGTTTCGAACCGTTTATTTTTTACGGGTACGTTGGTGTCATGGTAGCATTGTATGGCTAATAATCAATGCGTCGAGCTTTCGATCCCCAATTTATAATTTTTTTAAAAGTTGGGTTTGTTTTGGAAAAAAGGGGGATTGAAAGATTGAAAAGATCGACAGTTTTTCGCATTTTGGTCATGTTGTAATGCTATATGGCTAGGGTATTTCATCTACCATCAAGTGAATGCTTTATTGTCTCTCCTCCTCCATTTAAAAAAATACTAAATAAACTAAATAAAGTTTTTTGTGTATTGTTGAGCTTCACATGACCTGCACGTTCCCATGACATAACTCATTTCATTTTATTCAAGGGTTGCCTGGAAGAGATCGCTCTATAGCGATAAGGCTATTGCACTCTATAACTGAGAGAATAATGTATCTTTAAAAATTGTATTGATAAGAATGTTTTAAGGAATCATGTATATATACTTTGTGTGTGTTGCAATGAAGAATTAAATAAATATAGAAATTAAAATGATTAATCTTTACCTTGAAGCCTATGCCCAAATCGAATCAGATGATTCTCTGATACCAAAGGAAGAATTCGCCGTCGAAGAATCAGTGGACGGCATCGAAAACACAGATTTTAGTAGCCTGCGTGAAAGCAGCGATGTTGGTGCTGCCAGTCAAGACAATGTAGCTAATGTACAAGAGTCCAGTGATGCATCTGACGATGTAAGCAACGTCAGAGCTAGCAGCGACACTGAAGGTGACAGACAAGCAAAATATTTAGCAGCAGACCAATACGAAGAACAATCAGCACCAAGACCTCTCAGCAGCAAAACCTGTATCGAGAAAAATGAACGCTATTCTATTCCTGGCAGTTGCGATAAATACATTGAATGTTTGGTATGTATACATTTTTAATGTTGTTTAATTATAAAAGATAGACATATACAGTCGTGGATCATTTAAAGAGGATTTAATTCGATATATTCAATAATATTGTTAATATAATTGTTTTTTTAATAAAACTCGTATTACAATACACTTGAAGGACGACATCTCTGATTTTCAGCAGGTTCAGCAGGTTTTTTAGACCTATTCTGCTTTTTATACCGTTAAAACCGTTTCAATTGAATGTGTACTACTCGTGTAAACTACAGGCAATACTTGTTATTAATTTTTAATATTTGATAAAACAAATTTTATTTTTTTATGAATCTGTTGCCTGTTGTGTGCTTGTTGTAACCTATTGAACAAACTTAAACGTAAATTTCCGCAATGGCTTCTGCAACACTTCGACCGTCCTTATTCCCTTTGAACGAATATTTCGTAAGTTCCAAACACAGTATTGTGAAGCACTTAGCATAATGTCGAATGGGTCGAATGTTGTACATCTTTTATGGGTTATAAAAGTAATTTATTTAAATAAAACACTTTAACGGTTTAAAACACAAAATGTATTAGTTAGTTAATTTTTTTCTAGAACCGACGTTTTAAAAAAATATTTAGCGTTTTAAACCGTTAAAGGGTTTTTAATTAAATGTGTACTTCTCTCGTCAACTAACGACAGTATTTAAAGTAATTATCTATGGTATTTTCGTACGGTCAAATATATTATAATTATGTACGGGCAAAGTCGAGGTAAAAGGCAAAGAGTTAACTTATTAAATCTAAGGTCGTGCGTTCGACCCCCACTGGGTCTAATATTTTTCTGATGCATTTATAAAATTTCTGAAACATGTTGGACTTCATCAGGTAATCTGGATATTATTGGATTGGGTGGTAGGAATATCGAAATTTCGTCCGGGTCACCAGATGAAAATCCGTCAAGTTTAATATTTCCGAATATCCAAAGTTAAAATTGGTCGACGTCGCATCTTGTTTCGATGTTATACCACTGGGATGATTCACCTATTATCAAGTGGACCCCAAGCTTGCCTATCATATATATGTCGCATATATCCTTTTTTATTATTATTATTTTAAAAATTATTGTATGTGAATTTCCACTAATCATAATTTATATTTCTAGAATGGTACAGCAGAAGAGAAGGTATGCCCTGATGGTCTCCGGTACAACCCTGACGTGAAGTTCAACGTTTACCCATGTCAATATCCCATCGATGTACCATGCCTTGGACGGTCAGCGTTACGTAAGTTACGAGTTACGTTTATCAATATCGATGTTCACTGTAATCAAAATTAAATATAATTCAAATGTAAATAGATAGTTTCTGATATAGAAATACAGAATATCGCAATAATTTTCCCTAATTTTGAATAGTTTTATTTTTATTAAAAAAAAAAAGGTCACGGTAATACGATTTTGAGTTACTTAAAGATTTAAAAAAGTCATCTATTGTACATATTTGCTTTTTCAATTAAATAAAAATGCTTTTAAGCTAGCTTTTGTAATGCAATGAAGTAGGTGGTGCTAGTGTAGCAGATTTAACGTTACAGCAATTTTTATGTCGCTAACTACTTAAGACAAAATTAATTAAAAGTTTTATTTTATTATATTCGTCTTAACATTTAATAACAAAAATGAAAATTAATTAACATCCTTATGAATCACTTTTAAAAGGTCAAACCGTTAGTCCCGCAGTTGACTAATAAATCTTAGGGCGAGTATTACAACATTAAATAAAACTTTTAACGGTTAAAAATGCGAAGTATTAGTTCCCCCGTGACCACAGCTGCTGCAAAGCACCGTAAAACCGTAGTCAAAAGATGACTAATTCGTATTAAAAATTTTAGAAAAATGTTTTTTTTAAGAGGTATTAATTAGGAAATTATATAACAATAATAATATGAACAGATTTTGAATTGTATATTTTTGTTTTTATTGTAATAATGTAACTAATTACGTAAGCTTCCGTCTATATTCAGCATTCGACCGAAATTCAGAGAAAGAAAAAATGTCTAATTTACCTTCGAACTTTTAAACCACATTATGTTTATCTCTACCTGATATAACAGTCTTAATTGATATAGTACGACCTTTGTTAATTACTTCTTCTTAATATCCTCATCACGAAATGTAATATTCCTAGTAATACGTCATTCGAAAGTAGTAGATATCTTTCATTAATGCTATTTCAGAACCAGCACAGGCAACGGCAGATTGCCCCCATCAGTTTGGCTACTTCAAAGTTGGCGATTCCAAAAACTGTGGTACTTTCAAAAACTGCGTCAACGGAGTGGCATATGAGTTCAACTGTCCAGAGGGATTGGCTTTCAGTTCTGAGACTTATCGATGCGAGTGGCCCGATCTAGTTCCTGACTGCGATGTTGAGGGTGTGTTATTTACTCATATCGTTAATGAACTAATAGTTAGAAAATATGCTTTACATAAGATTACCAAACTGTGCGATCATATAATTTAAATTAACGGAAAGGATTACCGAACCGCCCGGTCACGAAACACTGTCACAGATGGACAAACCGTGAACAGCGATCTCGTGGTTCGTTTTTAGCCTTTAAATTTAATAACTAATATTATAATAGCTAAAACCAAATGTAGATGTAATAGAGCTACATTGAATAAACAAGTTGCGTAGACCAGTTCAAGTCCCGCTCGAGTCGTATTTTTTTTTCAATCTGAAATCGATATTCAAGCCTCGTGTGAAAAATATTAATATTTTCAAACTATAAGTTGATTCCTTTTTCCTCTACTGGCGGTGGTACGTGACTTGAACGGAATTTCGATACTTCTACCACCTATATTAAATTGCCACATTTCCAGACAAAGTACAATATGTTTCAGAAAAAATATAAATCTATTAGAAAAATGTTGGACCCGGTAGGGATCGAACCCTGACCCGTTTGATTATTAGCCATACATTGCTACCATTACATCAACAAATCTTTAATATTATTTAATTATACTTTCAGCTTTCCTCGGTTTCCGTTGCCCAGAAGTGCGTGTCTCAAAAGAGTTGGGACCACCAGCAGGATACAGGTTTTATAGGTAACTAGCGACCCGCCCCGGATTCGCTCGGGTGCAATGCTGAAATACTAAATACACTATAGAAAACCTGCCAACGTTGTATATAAAAACCTTCCTCTTCAATCACTTTATCTATTAAAAAAACCGCATCAAAATATGTTGCGTAGTTTTAAAGATTTAAGCGTACAAAGGGACAGAAAAAGCGACTTTGTTTTATATTATGTAGTGTTAATATCGTACTATAGACCAAGTAGGGGTGTAGCATAAGCCACATTACGAAATTATTATTATACAAACGGACAATGATATAAAACTGGTTGTTTGATGACCAGTGCTCTGGCTAAATGTCAACGATGTGCGGCGGCCTTGGCGTTATATAATTATTAGAAATACCAAACAGTTAGCATAACACGTTTATACAGATATATTTTTATGGAATAACACATATCGATATATCGTAATTAAGGAAAAAGAATAATCCTTTTTATCCACTACAGAACACTGCACACTCCCTTTGTGTGTCCTTTCGACAGAGAAACAGGATTTCACTTTTATGATCTCGCATTTATATTAATTGTATATTGTAATCAAAATTATGCTCTGTGCACGGACCAAAAAAGTAGCCTTGTTTTTCAACCTTGTGTTTTTATGTAGTATATAATTAATTAAATACGATCCTAAAAGCGTTTATACGTCCTGGTCTATAATAAAATTAGATGATTAATTCATCACATAAATGAATGAAAGTTTTCGAAGTTTTATACAACTGGCAGACAAGATATCATTGGCACTATAAATAAAATTATGAATATATAAATTGTACATAATTACAACCTTATTCTAGATTGAAAAAATTATATGACACGGTCATCAAATTTCTTAAACCTAATCTAAATACATAACGAGCAAGATTAGAGTTCAAGTTCCGACCGTGTCATCGATTTTTTGCAAACAAAAATTTATTTATAATTTAGTAATTAATCAAGTACTGTTTTAGTTTACGCGAGTTATATATAAAATACTTATAACGGCGTAAAACGCAAAAATACGGTTTAAAACGCGGTATGCATTAGCAAATATATTTTAACTACGACTCAACGTTTCGGATGCTTTGCAGCAACCTCGTTACGGGAGGAAATTAAATTGTAAATATTTTCGCTAATACATTTCGCGTTTTGAACCGGTAAAAGTTATTTTTATTTAAATTTGTCGTTATATTTTCAGATCTTCAGATGACTGTCAAAAATACTTCATTTGCATTGATGGTAGACCTCGCCGGTTGGCCTGTGGCGGGTACACAGCCTTCGACGATTTAAGTGAGAGCTGTGTCGCTGCTGACGAAATATCAGCATGTCCACTGGAACTTAGAAATCGGGCGGAACTTTCGAGAAAAGCTGAGTCACAGAGGCTCACAGCCGAGAACGCTTTCGGAAACCGACGTAATAATGTCGAAGAAGCGACCACATATTCTCCATACAACGGAGTTGTTGTCCAGAATTTACAAGAAGACGACGCAGAAGTTCAAAACCAAGACATAGATAACAATGGGGAGTTAGAACAACCGGAAATATAACTTACCTCTTCAGAATAACATTTCGTTGTATATATATGAGCTCTTTTAATAAAATGATCGTATTAGACTGACCAGTCCTAGTGTTACAATAAATATAAGTGTTTTGTTACCATTTCTGTACGGTTATCGACTATCTTATCGCTAATTATAAAATTCCAGTTAAATGTGTTTCAATTCCTTTAATTAGTAACAGCATCTTAATGATCTTAAAACCACAATCAATTTTATTTTAGTATAAAACACAAATCGAAAATTGAGTTTTTATCATTAAACTTACACCTTTCTTTGTGACAAGAAGTAGATCAACGAAAATGTTTTTGATCGCATTGTTCGCCGGTCTGTTCGTGGTATCTTGTAAGTATATTATATCTTTAATATAACATGCATTCTATTAATAAAAATATTAAACGTATATATATATATATAATGTGATCTGTTATTAGGTACAGCGGCTGACGCGGAGGTACCGCCACCAGTTCTGGCGGTTGACCCAACTGCTCCACCATCCCACAAGAGCTGTCCGCGGAGAAATGCATACATCAAAATGGATGGAGACTGTGATACCTATGTAGAGTGCAAGGTAAGAGTTTCAATAAATGAATGTCTACAGTACATGTTGATTAGACACTTTTTATCAAGTGAAGTCCACGTTTGCTTGTTCTTTTCTACATGACGTCTTGTAAAAAAATATCTAAAGGCCGAGTTGAGCTTTCCTACAGTAGATAGGCAATGGCAAAAAGAAGCGTAAATAAAATAAGTATCGCCTATGCCTATATATAGTACTAATTTAAGATTATTTAAAAACCTTTTTTTGTTATTGATTGAGCCAATGTTTTTGCTATATATAGAAACAAAGCAAATTTGATGTCCCACCTCTTATACCTTACGTCGGACACTAAACAAACAAAAGAGTATATTTGTTTATGTATATATTTTTTATAGGATTTCGTGCCCGTCCAAATGTCATGTCCGGATGGTCTGCATTACGATCCCGATGTAGAATGGCCCAACTACCCTTGTGGCTACCCTATGGATGTTCAGTGCAAGGGTCGAAGCGTGCCACGTACGTAAATGTGATTATGAGAAATAATCAAGCTATTAATATAAAAGCTATCACCAGAAAAAATCTAGAAAGACACTGTAGTTTGCGCGAGTAATACACATTTAAATAAAACACTTTAACGGTTTAAAACGCGATATGTATAAGTCAAACTTATTTACGTTTTACTTATTTTACTTATTTACTTATTACGGCCCGGACGGCCTCACGTTATCAAACAGCTGGGATCCCATATTAAATATTTTGGATTCCAAAAAATAGCATACGAGAAAACGCAGACACCGTTAGTTAATTCTGCCGCCAACTAGTTTCTCCAAATACCAACTTAGACGAAACAGATGGCGCTAGCGTCGCAGTTTTTACTTTGACGTCAGAGACAACCTCCATCTTTAGTCTACCCGTGACCACGGCTGCTGCAAAGCATCCGAAACGTCAGGCCGTAGTTAAATAATTTTCAAATAAGTTTAACCAATATATATCGGGTTTCAAGCTGTTAAAGTGTTTTATTTCAATTTAAAGACGTTCTCAATATCTTAAATTTCTCAACAGAACCTGCAAAACCAACTGCTGACTGTCCTCACCAATACGGCTACTTCCCTTCTCCTCTCGCTGGGCCTAACGATTGTGGACAGTACCGGTTCTGCTTGGATGGAAAACCCATTGAAATGGAGTGCCCCACTGGACTAGCTTTCAACCCTGACTCCGGCCGCTGCGACTGGCCTGGCCACGTGAAGTCATGCAACGTTGAAGGTATGAAACTCACTTCCGTTGTTTAAATAGAATAAAGTGTTATGCAAACTGGTGGTAGCTTGCAACATTAAATTTAGCATTGCTTATTTTAGTTTTATAATAACAACGAAAAGTTAAATAAAATTTGATTTGATTTTCTTTAATATCGATAGCGATGTACATAAGGTAAGAGTATATAGAATTAATATATAAACAAATATCCTGTTTAATAAATAGTGTAAGGCTTTTCTTCGAGCAATGGAGGAGTTAATATCCTGGTGATGCCGTCCGCACGTGATGGCGAAACGCCGAGAACCTTTTCTCGCTCACGTCGGCCGAACAGCCCGAAAGACAATGATATATCCTGTTTGTTTTTTTTTGTTAAGACGTCGATACCAATAGCTATTGGTTATAAAAAAAATATCTTAGTCCAATGTGAAAATAACAAAGCACATGTCTGTAGTTCTCGTGAGTAGTACATATTTAAATAAAGCAGTTTAACGGTTTTGAACTTAAAATGTATCAGTTAACTTATTTACAATTTATTTTAACGACGGCCCAAGATTTGGAAGTTTTGTAGCAGCCGTAGTCAGACAAGTAAGTAATATAAATTGTAAATAAATTGACTAGTACATTTCGCGTTTTAAACCGTTCAAAGTGTTTAATTTAACTACAAAGAACATTTCTAACAACAATTTCAGTTTACCGCCGTGGGCTTTCTTATTTAACTAACTTTCTCTCAAACATTTGACGGTAACTTTAAAACTTTCAGCCACTTTACTTAAGTGAGAGTTTTAATTCTATAAGGATTTTTAAAGTTCGTTAATAGTTACATTATTGTCATAAATACTGTCTATAGCTTACGCGAGTAGTACAAATTTAAATAAAACACTTTAACGGTTTAAAACGCGATATATTAGTTAAACTTATTTAAAAATGATTTTTAACTTCGGCCCGACCTTTCGGATGCTTTGCAGCACCCGTGACCACGGCTACTGCAAAGCAAGCAGTTTAACTAATTTAAAGTGTTTTATTTAAATTATTGTCATATTTCAGCTTTCCTTGGTTTCACCTGCCCTCCAGCCACTTACGACGAGAGTGGAGACGCTATAGTGACCAACCACAGGTACGAAGTTTTACTTGACATATACACAATTCTGTCTCCTCTGTGGGGTGAAGACGTATGTTAAAGTCCATTTAAATGACAATACATACTCACGTAATGCTGATAGTAACCGGTAATCAAACCTAGGACCTCTCGTGCTCAATGTAGAACACTCTTACAATTGACTACGTAGCTTTTACTACAAATCTTTTTTTTTAACTGTCTAATGAGAACTGTCTGTAGTTTACTCGAGTAGTATACGTTTAATTAAAACACAGTTAAAGGGTTTACAAGAGGTAATATTATTAGTTAACTTCCTTAAATTAAAAATCGAGTATAAATTTGAAAAAATAACGACTCGGGCAGGACTTGAACCGGCATCTACAGCGTTCTGTGCTTTTGCTCTAACCAATTGAGCTACTGAGTCCTACCACACCGTTATCGTCGACTCTTTTTAACCTATAGATACATGTACCTATCGCGCGTATTTTTTTTTCAATTTCTGATCGATTTTTAATTTACATAGTGCCATCATGTGCAACAACATGTGTTGTTTTTTTTAATTAATTTAAATCCCTCCGTTAACAAATATATTTCGCGTTTTAAACCGTTAAAAGTGTTTATTTTTTTTAACAATAGCTTTTTAATGTTCTTTCACAGATACAAGGGTAACTGTTACGCCTTCTACTCTTGCAAGGCTGGTGGTCATCCCCGCCTACTCTCCTGTGATGCTGGTCTAGCGTTCGACGAAGCCTCCGGCCGGTGCGAAGATTCTGACCGAGTGAAGTGTGCTAAAACCTCTTCAGCTGCACCACAGCCAGCAGCACCGCAATAATTAGTTTATAGATTATGAGGGAGATTACTTTGTTTTCAATAAAAGCCATTTAAGATAATGAAAATATCTTTCAATCTATACTTAATATATAACGCTGAAGAGTGTGTTTGTTTAAATACGCTTACTCGGGAACTACTTGTTTGTATTGAAATGAAATGATTTTTGTGTTGGTTATATGACAACAAACATCACGCTGCAACCAATAGAAACGATGACACAATTGGAAAAACGGAAAAACGAGGAAAATCATTCATCTTTTTTGGTTTCCGTTACGTATCTTGCGAAATCGGTTCAAGATACCCAAAAAATATGTATGAAAGAATGATTGCTTTTTGAATGATTAAAAAAATATGTCCACAACGCTATTTGTATATTTTTATTTTTTTGACTAATTTTAGAACTATAGATATAACCTCAAGCTATATGTGGGTCTTACACTGGAAATAATTTTACAATAATTAAACAAAAAAGCCGTTTAATGTTTAATCAAAAAAAAAATATATATTTTAACAAAAAAAAACTTAAATGCAATAAAACTGGAATAACCTTATTACCTTTATTATAAGTACATTATTCAGATAAAAAAAATGTTAGCCTAAAACATATTCATTACAAAATTTAAAAAAATCTTGATGATACATCCTTGATGTTCTCTCCCACATTTAATATTTTTTAGTAGATTTAAAAGTGTAAGTAAAAGATCATATTTCTTCTTTCTTTTATCGGTATTCACAATATTTAAGAAGTTTTTTTTGAAACTTAAATGACCGAAGTCAATAATTAATTTTTATGTTAACTTATAAATTTTTATGCAAAATGAAAAACATATAATTTAATATTATCTCCGATAGCTAAAAAGCAATGCACGATATTTTTGCAATAGTGTTTCTCGATATTATTTCTAAGATAAAAATACCTTTACAAATCCACGCTTAGTATTACAGTACGATAATATGATGATGGCGTTATTATAGTAATGTCAGCGCATTTCAAGGTTTTTGAGTTAGGTCACTCCATTACTAAGCGTGCGAAATTACCTAATAGTACGTTCGGAAATTTACGTTTAATTTCCGTAAATACGTACTCTATGCTGCTTTTTTTTCTTGACAAGTAATTAACCTAATAGATTTTTTAGATACAAACGACATTTTTTTCTATCTACACTAATATATAAAGCTGAAGATTGTTTGTTTGTTTGTTTGAACGCGCTAATCTCAGGAAGTACAGGTTCGAATTGAAAAAATTCATTTTGTGTTAGTTAGAGCATTTATCGAGAAAGGTTATATTATGGTATATATAACACATTGCAATGTGACTAATAAGAGCGAAGATACAGCGAAAAATGTGAATAAAACGGGGAAATTTTTTCATCTCTGTAAGCTTCAGATGCGTACGCTGCGAAAACGGTTCAAGATACAACTAGACCAAAAGTTGTGTATGAAAGAATGATTTCCCTTTAAATGATCTAAAAAAATTCCGCAGCGCTATATGTCTATCATTTAAGATTAACTTGCAAGACCGAACGACGGGACGCGTACGACGGGATACGAATATCGTGGGTAAAAGCTATCTACACTAATATTATAAAAAGGAAAGATTTGTATTTTTGTATGTAACGGATAACCTCAAAAAGTACTGGACCGATTTTTATAATTATTTTATTTATTTTTTACCATTTATAAACTTTTTTTTAATAAATTATAGATCTTAAAATTAATATTATAATTGCGAAAGTAATTATGTCTGTCTGTCCGGCTTTAACTCCGAAACTACTAAACTGATTTAAATAAAATTTGGTACACAGATATTTTAGAGCCTGAGAAAAGGACATAGGACATATATTTTTTAATGCCAAATAGGGGTGTATAGGGGATGAAAGTTTGTATGAACTACGTGGTTTTTGAAGCTAGAACAATGGAACTTTCTTCTTTGGATTTTGGGAATAGGCGTGGGAGTAGGAGTGGGAGTGTAGGAATGAGACTGGGAGTGAGTGTAGGAATGAGAGTGGGAGTGAGAGTAGGGCAACGTATGAACTTACGACATAGATTGGCTGCCTTAAATGCGCCCTTATATAAATTCATAAACAGCCTATATAATTAAAAAATTTACCGCAAGTTACTATTCCACGAGGACGAAGTCGCGGGCACAGCTATTATTGTATAAGGCTTTCGCGGCCATTTTGCAAACCGTCTTGGCTGTCGAAATTAAGAAAGATTTTCATCCATACGATTGCTGGCGTTATCGAGGCATGTTGAGTGTTCCTCAACTTATTATTATGTTGTATATACAAGAAAATATGTATTCTTAATACATCCAGGTTATATTTACAATGTTAGGGAGAGGTTTTTTTTTGTCTAATAAATTGTACATTTCAACAACTCACGTCAGTTATTTTGTTTACACTCTCTACTGGGTGTTAAATGATGATATATGTTTAAACAGATTTCACAAGTTTGAATTGTTGATCAAAGAATCAAAACTTGGTAAAATATGTAAAAGACACAACGCATTTTAAAAACTTACAGTATACATATCAATAAAAAATAAAGGTTTTAAGCGCAAATAATGTTATTTAATCTTTTTAGCGAAACAGATGGCGCTAGTGTAAAAGTTTTGACTTTGATTTGATTGCCCCCCCCTTTACAAAATTTTTGTAAATTGGCTTATCAATATGTTTCGCGTTACTTTCAAAACTATATTTATAGTATACAGTTATGATCTATACTATTATATAAAGCTGAAGAGTTTGTTTTTTGTTTGAACGCGCTAATCTCAGGAACTACTGGTTCTAATTGAAAAAATATTATTGTGTTGGTTAGATCATTTATCAAGGAAGGCATTGCATATAGGCTATAGGCATATATAACACATTGAGATGTGACTAATAGGAGCAAAGAAACAGCGGGAAATGTAAAAAAAAACGGGAAAAATTATTCATTATTATGGGTTTCCGAGGCGTACGCTGCAATAACGGTTCAAGATATCCAAAAAATATGTATAAAAGAATGATTCCTCTTTAAATGATCTAAAAAAAGCCCGCGACGATATGTCTCTGTTTTAAGATTAAACTCCCAGAACCCCGTGGAGAGAAGGGCCCCGGGGGGGGTAAACCCCTAATTTTCCCAAAAGGAGGGGGTTTGCCAAAAAAAACCGGCCCCCCCCAAAAAACCCCCCCCCCCCCCCGGGGGGGGGGCGCCCCCCCCGGGGGGGTTTTTTTTTTTTTTTGGGGGTTTTTTTTTTTTTTTTTTTTCCCCCCCCCCCCCCCCCCCCCCCCTTGGTGGCGGCCCCCCCCCCCCCCCCCCCCCCCCCCCCCCCCCCCCCCCCCCCCCCCCCCCCCCCCCCCCCCCCCCCCCCCCCCCCCCCCCCCCCCCCCCCCCCAAAAAAAAATTTTTTTTTTTCCCCCCCCCCCCCCCCCCCCCCCCCCCCCCCCCCCCCCCCCCCCCCCCCCCCCCCCCCCCCCCCCCCCCCCCCCCCCCCCCCCCCCCCCCCCCCCCCCCCCCCCCCCCCCCCCCCCCCCCCCCCCCTTTTTTTTTTTTTTTGGGGGTCCCCCCCCCCCCCCCCCCCCCCCCCCCCCCCCCCTTTGATGACAATTTGAATTTGATGACACCCGGGTCTCGAAGTTCTGTCTCCTCCGTTTCCTCTATCAATTAAGCTATCATGTATCATTTGGCATTTGTAATCTATAAATTGTCCAATAACATATATAGGTATATAAATGTAAGTGTGTATGACAATGTACCTAACTAAAACTAACAGTATAAGTAATTAATAAGTGCTTAAGTAATCGATCGTAGAATATTTTGTTTAAAACTAGAAACGATATCAAAACCACCATCGATAATTATGACTCCCGTTATTATACGTTAAAAATGGTATATAATAAACGAACTTTTAAAATCTTGCATCATTCATTTAATGTGCATTGGATAGAGTAGTTTATCGTGGAATATTTAATAATTATGCGTTTCGTTGTGTTAATTTTCGCTGCTACAGTTGCGTCAAGTAAGTACATAAATATGTCAGTCAGTTAAAAAAAATAGTGTATAGATAAATCAAAGTAGTCTAGCCTTAGGTGTTTTTCTTCCCCACTTCCCCACAGTTCAGTTGAGACGATGAAATATAGCTTTATAACATCTAAACAAGACGTGCTTTCATCTATTTTTGATTTAAACTTCACGGCTTTTTAATCTGGAGACAGTGGTTTGTGACCCGTATGGATTTTTTTATATTCCTCTATTTAATATCTAAATTTCCAGACGAAGTCCACAGTCTCAAAACATTTAGTTATGTTGGATCCGATTGATATTAGCCATACAATCTGACATTGGACCAACGAGCCAAAATAAACAAGACTTTCTATAATCTACGACGCTATGCAAATGTGTTTTATGTAAACCAGCATAATTAACATAACATCTTTATTACTTTTACTAGCTGTGCCAGCTTAGTTCGTGTAGAATAGTTTTGGTCATACAAATTTGTTTTTGCAATTCCTATTCCTGAGATTAGCGCGTTCAAACAAACAAACCTCTTCAGCTTTATAACATTAGCTTAAAGAGACAACGGCGTAACACGAATTTTACTTTTTTGAATCTATTGTCTATAGATTTAGGTACTGAAAAGAAATAGCTATAGGTATGTAGCAATATAACCTCAAAAGAGTTTCTATTCTATTCTAAAATACAAAATAGTTGAAATAATACTTTTTGCTTGTATCCTTTTTTTCTCGTATTTTATATAACGTTATAAATGTTTTTTTTTTATAAATCTTACAATTAGTATGGTTATGTTACAACTTAAAAATCTTTTATAGGCATCGCCAGTGATGCGCCCGCGCCGTCAACTGACGCAGCGCCCGCAGCCGACGCTCAAGCTAGCCCGTGCTCACGAAGAAACGTATTCATGAAAGTAGCTGGGAAATGTGACGCTTATGTAGAATGTATTGTAAGTATTAAATGCCGTGGGCCGACAAATGTCTGTGTCTGCTCTACAGACAAAAATTTTAGAATGTAGTTTAATGAGACGTCTCGCTTGATCCTAAAACTTATACTTTGGACAGATGCTGTATATCGATGGTCGTAGCTATCACGACTGTCTTTATTTGGCATAGATAAATATAAAAAAGTTTTTTAATTTTTTTTAATTTGCATAAGCTCTTGTTTTACTATAATAAAGTATTTAATAATTGGAAAAACGTAGATTAATTAAGTCCTCCGTAGTCTGACGTAGTACTATATATTTCACAAAATTATTACCTTTTAGGACTTCGCACCTGTACAAAAATCCTGCCCGGACGGTCTACACTACAATGAAGCTGTTGCTTGGCCCAACTACCCTTGCGGATACCCATCAGATGTCCCTTGCAGAGACCGCAGTGCGCGTGAGTTTATAGTGACATTCTTTATTCAGCCTCTCTAATAAATAATTAGACTATATGAATCGATAGACATTTTTTATGATAGTATAGACATAAGTACTATTGTAAGAATGGCCTAAGCCTATGTTAATATAGTATATTACCAAATGACACATTATTATCTAACTAATGAGATAAATATTCTTTAAATTCATTTAAATTTAATTACAATGCCTGAGTTAACTATAAATTTAAATATAATTTTAACGAATTAAAACGCGATATATTATGCCTATTTGAAAATTATTTTAACTACGACCCGACATAGCAGCGTTTCAGCAGCCATGGTCACGGGGAGACCTAATATACATATATCACGTTTCAAACCGTTGAAGTGTTTTATTTAAATGTGTAATTCGCGTAAACTACAGACAGTGTTTAACTTTAAATTGTTATAATCACACACTTTCAACCGACTTTTGAGTTGATTAAATAATTTTACTTATGTATGAATATATACAATAATTTATAATCTGTAACAAATAGAGGCTGCGAAACCCACCCCGGACTGTCCTCATCAGTACGGCTACTTCCCATCACCCACTGCCGCACCAACTGACTGTGGACAGTACAGAATGTGCATAGCGGGCAAGGCTGTGGACCTGGTGTGCCCCACTGGTCTCGCTTTCAACTTCGAGACTAGTCAATGTGACTGGCCCTTCCTTGTTTCTTCTTGCGATGCTGCCAGTAAGTACTTTTTAAGGGGGGACTTAAAGCAGAGACTAACATCATCGGCTCGTTGGACTGAGTGATTTTTCTAAAACACTGTTTCAATTTGTATCTTGTCGTATGTGCCTAAAATAAATAAAAATTCAATTTTAAATTAAAAAAACGACACGGGCAGACCTGAACTTTTTAATTTATATAATGCCATCATGTGCAACAACATTGTTTTTTTCAATAATTAACATTAAAATGTTTAATTAATGAAAAAAACATGTAGAAATAATTATGTACAATAACACATTTCTTCTTTATTTTTAAGGTTACCTCGGATACCAGTGCCCAGCAGCTAGCTTTGACGAGAGTGGCAATCCGGTTGTGACAAACCACAAGTAATTAAGTTTCTATTAATTTTACACAAATTTTAATAATAATAGTATTATTAAGGCTTAGATATTATATAAGATACTTGAGTAGATTAGTATTAACTATACATCTCTAGAGTTTTAATACCTAACGTCACAAATATGGAGCAGACGAAGTTTGTGACTCTCTCCTTTTCTTTTTTATGAATGAGTAGGTCAGACAAGCATGTTGTTCACTTGAGGGTAGGTGAAATTCCGGAAACCAACGACTTGAACCGAATCGCGTTTAAACTTGAGGGCTTTTTTATCTGTGGACGGTGATTCATACCTGGAAGAAATTTCGATATAAGCTATACATTGGTACCATTACACCATATGTCCATCCTTTCATCTCTCTCTCTCTTTCCTTTTTTGAACTGGTTCTTCATGGAACATATACAAAGCAAATTTAATATTATGTACTAGCTCATGTCATTAACATCTTATTTCTACCACAGGTTCGATGGCAACTGCTACGCGTTCTATTCTTGCCAAGATGGCCGCCCCCGTCTTCTATCCTGTGACGCTGGGCTGGCTTTCGATCCCGTTTCAAGCCGATGTGTCGATGCTGACGATGTTGCGTGCAGCGACAGCCCCGCAGTACCCACTACGGAATCTAAACCTTAAATATAAATAAACTTCCTATACTAACATTTATTCTTTTATTGACTTTGTCACACCGACGTGTTAACTTATTAAGATTCTTTATTTATAATGAGAAGAATCTGAATCAAACAGTCAAACTTAAGCAAATCTTTTGGCTGGATCTGTTTGGAATATACGTGGTTAACGTATAAATACATACAATTATATAAAATGATCCTGTTTAAATAAACACGTTATATTAGTTAAACTTATTTGAAAATGATTTTTAACTTCGGCCCGGCGATTCGGATGCTTTGCAGCATCCGTGGTCACGTGGAGACTGTCGATTGAAAATCGGGCCGAAGTTAAAACTCATTTTCAAATAAGTTTAAATAATATATCGCGTTTTAAACCGTTAAAGTGTTTCATTTAAATGTGTACTACTCGCGTAAACTATAGACAGTATTTAAATGATCCTGTTTTATTAGTTACGTAAAAATGCAGAAGCCTGTAGTGTCCCGTATTTTAAAAGGCGTATGTGTTTTCTATATTGTCAATAAACCAAAATCGTACAAAGATTTTAAATTAAGACAGATTTGTCGAAACGATGAATCAAGATTGACAAGTTAAATAATATACAAATAAAAACTTAAGCTAGAGCTTCACAGGAAATATCTTAATGATATGCATGTAATGAACTTCAATGTATGGTATCTCGATAGACCATCATTTTTAATGACATTGTATTTATTATACTTTTTTAGTGATTAGTAAAGGAGGCGAAGGTTTTTTTTTCTATTGATATTTTATTGGAGATAAAATATTGTTTAAAAAAAATATATATATATAAATCGAGTAACCAATCTGTTTCAAGTGTTTTCTTATATTTATAATCTTTCTATATTTTCTTTGTTTTTGATAAAAAGTTAAACACCCCAGCCACGTAACATTTCAAGAAGCGCTATTTTGGCTTGGATATTCGGAAATACACAGGCTGAAACGACATTTAATATACGGATTTCCGGAGGAAGTCCAACATGTTTCAGAAACATTTTAAATTGATTAGACATGATAGACCCCGTGGGGCTCGAACGCCTCGTATCTATGCCTTTAAAACTTAACCCCACATATCTACCATTAGACCACTTGGTACACAACAATTAAAACTTATACGTATTCATTACACATCCGAGTCTCAAATCGGCTGTAAAGATATAGATTACGGTATTTTTAATTATGTTTAAGTTAATATGAACTTGCTGCATTTAAAATTTACAATAAGTTAGTCGGAAGAATAAATTAAAAATCAACTCTACTCATAAAAAACGATTAGACAATTCGAGGGTTCTAAAACTGATCTGGTAAACAAAAATTGTGAAACCCAACGAAAGGTAAAATAGATCAGATTTCATAATATTATTCAGATGTGTACGTAAAATGGTCTAGATCTATAAATAGAAACTATGTTTTAAGCAAAAGTGTTTTCAAATTGACTTAACCATCTCAATAAATAAAGAAAATTAATTACTTATGTTAGTAATAGTGTCTAAAGGTTATTCATTAAAATATTTACAATTTATTTACCTGATGTTTCGGATGCTTTGTAGCACCCGTTATCATTGGATGGGACTGAAGATGGAGTGTGCCCCTAATGTAAAAGTCAATACTGCTACATAGTAGCGTCATTTGTTAAGTAATACATATAACTTAAGTTAACAAATACATTGTGTGTGTGTGTTTTAAAACGGGCTTTATTTAAATGTGTGAGTACTACTCGTGTAACTAACGCAAAACTAAATTATAAAACTGACAATTATGTTTTTTTATCAATTCAAACTGCAATTTCTAAGATAAGTAGTAAACTGGCCTAGGAAGTAGGTAGTAGTGCGATTTGAAAAATCTGTATCAATGATAGAAAAAAGGTTTACACTTACTTGCGTGTAAAAATACAAGTAGATTATCATAGAACTCTTAACCAAAATAAATTAACCGTTAGGTAATAAAAGGTTACTTTATCATGTGGCACTTAAATGGAGTTATTATTAATATAAATGAAAATTCTAAAGAGATGTGGTTTCGTAAATTACTCACTTGTTCTGGTAAAGTCGTTCATCCATTAAACATCCATTTACTGATGACAATCATTACTGTTATAGATAGTAAACTAAATTAAGATATTATATAAAATAGTTTTTCAATTCTCTACTTCATTTTATTAGAGAACAACCGTACCTTCAGTATTCGTGTTTAGTTGCGATTATGTTACGTAAAGGTTTATTAATTTTGCTTGCGATTGCGTGGGGTGAGTACCAAAAAAATTTTTTTTAAATAGTGCTGTTGGGGTCACTTGATGAAAGGTGAAATACCTTTGCTATATAGTATCTAAACAAGATGCACTGTAGATCTATTTTGGCTTTGGATATTCGGAAATCCACAGACTGAAACCGAAACGCGATTAAACTTCACGGCTTTTTTATCGGCGGCCGGTGATTTAATATTTAGGTGTTCAGGGGAAGTCCGCAATGTTTCAGAAAAATTATAAATTGATTAGAAAAATGTTAGACTCGGCGGAGATCGAACCCACGACCCGTGGCTTATTAGGCATACATTACAGCAATATCTTTCCATCAATTTGCCTTAAATAGGTACTTTTAAAACATAGTTTGTCAATAACTATTTCAGCTCACGCGCAAAATATTGAAGACGAGAATTGGCAGTCCCGGAGAACATTTCCGAGGTTTGGCTCCAGGGTAATACCGAGACCTGTATTCCCATCTAGGCCAGTACCAACTACATCTCATAGGCCAGAAACCACAACTGAAGAAAAACGTCGGGAAACATTTCCCTCAACACACAGACCCTTTTTTTCATCTACTTATAACCCTCCTAGGCGTCCCATATTCGTTAGACCTAGACCAGTGTGGTCTAGACCATTTTATACTACAACTACCGCTAAACCAGTTGTCACTGTAGTTGTGCTTCCTGGCGATCATTCTTATAAACCAAGTACGCCCAAGCCCCACGTAACTTACGTTTATCCTGAAAACTACAAACCCTCAACTTCTCCTAAACCGGCTGATGTTCCAATTGCGCATGAATCAGAACCGATATATTCAGAGCCTAAGCCGACTGTTGAACAACAACCTGAAGTAAGTGACCGCCCTCAATTTGTACCTCCTTCCAAACAACCGGAATCAACACAGTCGCCAAGCGAATTTAGTCCGCAAGTAACCCATGCAGATGAAGAACAAAAATCACCTTCTACCTCTGCAGCACCCACTGCATCTGAACCAACAACAGAACAAGAGAGACCGACTGAAGCTCAAGAGATACCGCAGCCAGAACCTGAAGTTCAGCAAGAACCTGAAATTCAGCAAGAACCAGAAAATAAGGCTTTAGATGACGAACAACCAGAATCACAATCAAAACCAGAGTCGCAGCCTCAGTCGGTTGAATTACAACCAGAATCAAAACCTGAGTCGAAACCTAATGCAGCCCCAACTTCAGCTGAGCAGGAATCAGAGGCTCAACCAAAACCTAAGCCACAACCTAACCCTCAATCTAGTCCAGCGCCACAACCAGAGGTCCAACAACCTGAATCTCAACCAGAGGTCCAACAACCTGAATCTCAACCAGAGGTCCAACAACCTGAATCTCAACCAGAGGTCCAACAACCTGAATCTCAACCAGAGGTCCAACAACCTGAATCTCAACCAGAGGTCCAACAACCTGAATCTCAACCAGAGGTCCAACAAGCTGAATCTCAACCAGAGGAAGAGCCGCCACAAGAGCCCCAATCCATAGTAGAACCACAACCTGAAATACCATCTCCTGAAGAAAAAAAACCCGAAGAAACAAAAGAACAACCTTCTCAGGAGCAACAACCGAGTCTTGATCAGCAACCTGAAAGTGAACCTAGTGTAACAGAGAAACCTCAGCCTACTTCCGAAACTTCGGAACCGGAAGCGCTGAAAAAGTCTGAAGAAGATGTCCAACAATCTTCGCCGCCTGAATCTCAATTTAGTTCCGAGTCTACTCAACAACCAGACAAACAAAGCCCCGAGTCTGAACAGGGCTCACCAGTAAAAATGAGATATATACCAGGTATCGGCAGTTCTCGTAATCCTATCTCATCCAAATGGCCGAAACCAAACTGGCCTCAGTTTTCTAAGCCATCTACAATACCTGACCACCCTTACCCGTGGAAGCCAACTACAGCTAAACCGATAGCGCTACCTTCTAGACCAAGACCATCCACTATTTTCAAACCTAAGCCTTTCAAACACCAAACTACCCGAAAACCAGATTACGAAGCTACTCCAAGGAAGAAATCTCCGGTCGAATCTGCTAAGATAACAGGATTAAAGGACTATCAATGCCAAGAGCCTAATGGTTATTATGCTGTTCCAAATCAATGTGATGCTTTCTTGGAATGCGAGGTAAAGCAAATATTTTTTAACAATACAGTTTATACATATGCATATTAAATGTTGAACGTGCATTCTACACATTTATTTATATTGTTTTTGTCTATATAAAATCGTAGTATAAAAATATATTTAAATATCGCTTTTGTTACTTGAGTTAATAACTTAGATGTGTTAACTTTTTTTAAGCTGTAAGAACTTTTGAACCAACGTTTTTATACATTTCAGGCTAACAGAGCAAAACAAGTGAGCTGCCCAGATGGACTTCACTTCAATCCCAAAGCTGTCTGGCCAGAATACCCGTGCGCTTACCCCTCTCAAGTCAGATGTGCTGCACACTACGCAAAACGTAAGTCCAAAACAATTAATGATAAATATATTTGACTTGTGAAGACGGAAAGAATTATACCAATAATGACGTTCTACTTTCAGAGGCACCAAAACCATCAGCAGCGTGTCCAAGGCAATACGGTTACTTCCCCTCTCCTTCCAATGACTGTGGAGAATACATTATGTGCCAAGAGGGTCAAGCTACAAAAATGTCCTGTCCACCAGGTCTTGGATTCAATTTCGAAACTAGCTCGTGTGACTGGCCAGCGAATGTGCCTTCCTGTAGTCCTGACGGTGCGTACAAATTTAGTAACATAACAACATAGAGTTCTTTACGTGATTATAAATTTTAACTTTTGCCTTTACAGTATTTAAAGGGTTCACGTGTCCAGCTCCCGATCCAGAAGAGGATGAAGATAAAATATACACATACAGGTAGAACAATTGATTTATTTTGGGTTTTTGTTATATTCTTCTTAGTTAAAGATTTTGACCAAAACCTGAAGATTATATCTATCATAGTTCGAAATTATAAATTGCATATAAATGTGGATAAAATATAAAGACGATTCAAATTAAAATCCGATTAAGACCTTCGTACTTTACTAATTATTATAATTACATGAATTGTATAAATTTTTCACAGATATGAAAAAAGCTGCAAAAAATACATTGCTTGCCAGAGGAGAAGTCCTCGTCTCCTTAGCTGTGATGAAGGCCTTTCGTATGACGACGTAACTCAAAACTGTGTTGATGAAGAATTGGTTACTGATTGTTCTTAAGCATATCAATAAACGACATTCTAGAAGCTACTGTATAGAAAAATATAATATTTGGTATTTCTGCACTATTTTTTTTAATTCAAATGAATATCAGCTGTAGTCCTAAGCATACGAGTATGTTCAAGTATAACTTCTAAATGACAGTGTCGGAGCAATACTTATGAAGATATTTTTTATATTGCTTAAACCAAAACTGTTTTTTTAATAAATTACACCACGTAAATTTAATAGATAATAATAAAACTATTAACCCAAGTTTTAAGTTAAAAATTACTGATCTGTGAATGATTACATCTGTGGTAACTGGTAAAACAATGTATTAAGATTCATCTACACTCCATAGATTATACGATATTTCATGATGTACCGAAGTCAACCCAAATCAAACGTTATTGGCTCTTGACTTGACCCGCAAAAAGCGCGAATTTCGACATAAAAGATGAAGTATCTTAGTAAATAATAATAAATAAACAATGAACGCTCAGCTTAGGTATAAAAAGATAAAGCTAAAATAAAATAAGATGATAAATGAGATTGAGACACAACTTACAATCTATACATAATATAATTTTAGAGTGAATAACTTTAAACGTTATTAACTTTCTTCAAAACAAGTATCACTTATGCATAGGCACAATATTTACGCAGAATATTTTGATCTTATCACGTTGTAATATACATTTAAGTACACAAACTTTCGTTCCTAAGGCACGAATTTGTTAGAAGGGGCGGCGCGACATTTTGTTGGCGCAGCCCTACTTTACACGCCGATGGCAGATCGAATTCGCTTGGTCTGTGACTTCCAGTGACTTCGCCCCAGTTGCGATTGTGAAGTGTCCGAAGTCTTTCGAGTTTATAATTGTACGTTTGACGACCTATTAAAGATCCAATAAGTGCGTGGCAGTTTAAAATATGTATCTTGGAACCATCTGTGTTCAACTAAAATACAATATAAATTAATTAGACTGAGCTCATTCCGCTGAACATGGATGATTCTTATATTATCGCGAATTTCCATGATCTATGTCGTCTGTGTTTGTGCAAAAGTGGACTTACAGTTTCCATATTCTGTAATGTAACTGATGATGAAGAAAACGGCTCGCTAACCTCGAAAATAGCGGAATGCTTTGAACTGCAGGTCAGGTCTTTTCTACGCAGTATATAGAAATGCGTAATTCATTTTATATATGTGAAGTTCGTTTTTCAGATGGACCCCAATGATGGCCTCCCTGCAAGAATTTGCTACAAATGCCTTTTTAAGGTGAATAAGTGCTCAAAATTTCGATCTTTGTGCATAGAAAGCGAAGCCAGGTTACGGAAGATTACGAATCGTGTTAGTGAACTTGCAAACTCTGACATATCTGATTTAAATTACATACATACTGAGCAGAAGCCCAAGACAGAGAACTATATTGTTGAAGATAGCGTTGTAATGGTAGTAGATCCAAGTCTTGACTATGATTCTTCAGAGGAATCGGAAAATGTAGAACAAAGTGAAATAGAGCACCCAGAACCAGACAACACAGGTGACCTTGAACCTGTACAGGAATCTTTCTTTAAAAATGTATCAATGTGTCAATACTGCGATCAAGCATTTATATCTCAAGAGAAGTGTAGTGAGCATGAGCACAACTATCATGATCCAAAACATCCATACAAATGTACTGAATGCAGTATTGTTTTTGCTGAAAGAAATTTATACATTGGTCATTCTAAAGCTGTCCACGGCAGTGACAAGCCCTACCACTGTCCAGAATGTGACAAATGTTTTGGTCGCCGGTCTGACTTAAGAAAACACTCAATTGTCCACACAGGTATCCGGCCATATCAGTGTCATTTTTGCCTTAAAAGCTTTTCTCGAAACACAAACCTTAGTAAACATTTAAGAATTCATGCTGGCCATAAGCCTCACGTTTGTCCAATATGTCCCCGAAGTTTTGTAGCTAAAGGTGATCTACAAAGACATGTTCTAATTCACTCTGGAATGAAACCATATGCATGCCAGAAATGTCCTCTTACATTTGGTAGAAAGGACAAATTGGTAAAGCATGAGCTTAGACATGGCCAATCGTTACTACATAGGAATGACCAAGATAATAATGACATGGTGGTTAGTGTAAATCCATATAGCAATATGATGTCTCCACCTAGTGATAATCTCAACTGTAATGAGTATGACCTTCCAAGAGTTCCTGACCACATAACTGGAGAGGGTAGCTTTTTGAATCACATACAGAAGGCACCTTCGACATCTGCTAAACATGTAAATAACTCCCCACCTAAACAGAAATCTCCAATAGGAAGTAAAAACAGACCTAAAAATATTAAATGTCACCAATGCCCAAAAAGGTTTTCTTCTTTGGATGCATATAAAACTCACGTGTCCATTGCACACATAGGATCTAGAGTTTTTCAGTGCAAAGTATGCTTCAAGAAGTTTTCCCGAAAAAGAGAATTAGACCGTCATGCATCTGTCCATGTAACAAATTTATTTGATTGTAGCCAATGCGATAAACAATTTACCAGAAAAGATAAGTTGGATAAACATGAAAAATCCCATGAATGCTTAGTTGTAAATATGCCCTGTATCGAATGTGGTGCAACATTTGAAAAAAAGCCAGATTTGGTGGCGCATATTAAATCTCATTTCACTGATAATTATGACGATAAAACACAAACAGAAATAAAAAAAGAGACTGAACCTGAATTTCCCACACAGGATAATTTTTATGACCTTGAGACCTGAACATTGTTTATCTTTTATAAATAATTTAGACGTAGTAATTATGTTATATGCAACTTCAGTACCTATTGCTAACTTTATAAATTATAATTATTATTTAATATAAACAATAATTATGTATCTTTGTACTTACAAAAATAAAATATATCTTAAAACTAAGGACATTTCTGTTGTACTTAAACAGTTACAGTTGAAATAGATTACAAGATAATAGAGGTGCCACTTTTTGCCTTATGTCATATTTGACTCATGCCGATTACAAGATACAAAACTTTATCATGACAAATTTGAAAAGACTTTCTAAAACTTAATGAATACTTTATTGTGCAATTAATAGAGCTAAGAAATAATGTAACTAATGACATGAATAAAAAAGCTTATTCTGTATAAATAATTTTATTTAACCAGCTAAGGGGTTCGCATGTATTGTAACTGATGTTATCCGAGCCTCTGTCAATAGTTTAAAGGTTTTTGGGTTAACAGGCATTTTTTCCAAATCATCTAAGGCTTCAAATCCGTCTATAACTCTGTAGGAAGGAAAATATATTTATGATAAACCTGGGACAATAAATTACAACAGCCAATTACAGTTATATAAATTATATTCTCACCTTCCAAAAATAGTATACTTTAGATCCAAGTGAGGTTGCTCTGCATATGTTATGAAAAACTGGCTGCCATTTGTATTGGGACCATTATTAGCCATGCTTACCATACCTCTAGCATTATGCTGTAAAACATTTTCATAGATGTTATATACACAAATAAGTGTTTTTTCACTAATTATATAGACACTAATACTTGTACAAATGGTTGTAAAAGATTGGTAGCATATGTATACATACTTTTAATTCTTCTTTAAATTCATCCTCGAACTTTCTTCCCCAAATTGATGTACCACCTTTTCCAGTCCCTGTAGGATCACCTGTTTGTACTATAAATCCCTATAATATAAAACAATAATTAAGTATTACCCTAAAGCTATTTTTATAAGGCATATATTTTTACGTCAAACGTTTACCTTAATATTTCTATGAAATAAAGAGCCATTATAATAATCACTGGCACATAAAGCTAGAAAGTTTTCACAAGCTTTAGGACTTTGTTCACAAAACAATTCAATTTTAAGGTCTCCTACATCAGTGTGCAATGTGACAGACATGGTGTGTATTGTGTGTATAGTCTGTATGTAGTCTAAATAGATATTTTATTTATTTTTAATAAGACACACATAAATAGTAGGGACTTTCTCCTGATCTTTGACTTGGAATTGTAATTTAGTTTTCAGGGTTTGTTTACTCGATGCAGTCCATTAAATGTCAACTGTCAAAATATTGAGGACAGATACATTAAAAGTCATTGGTTGGTGAATAGACTACATATTATATATCAACACTAGCTGTGCCCGCGACTTCGTCCGCGTAGAATAGTGACTTGTGGTAGAATTTTTAATTATTAAGGCTGTTTATATTAATAACGCATGCGCAATGCGCCTTTACATAAATTATTATGTAAAGGCGCATTTAGGGCAGCCAATCTATGTTGTAAGTGATGCTTTGCCGCTATACTCTCATTCCTACACTCACTCTCACTCCCACTCCTATTCCCAAAAAGCCAAAGAAGGATATTTCATTGTTCTAACTTCAAAAACCACGAATTTCCATACAAACTTTCATTCCCTTTTCAACCCCTATCAACCGTTATTTGGCTTAAAAAGTAACCTATGTCCTTTCTCAGGCTCTAAAATATCTATTTACCAAATTTCATTTAAATCACTTTAGTAGTTTCGGAGTTAAAGCCGCACAGACAGACAGAGTTAGTTTCGCATTTATAATATTATTAAAATCTATAATTTATTTAAATAAAAATTTATAAATGGTATGGATAACACGGTTTGATTTTGTTCGGCATTTCTATTAATTAACTATCTATGTATATAAAACTAGCTATGTAACAATAAAATCTCGCCTAAACCCAGTTTATTTATTTTGTAGTAAGGTGCACAGACATTTACTTTGGCAGCGTATACAGTATAATTCTGAAATGAGCGCGTTTTGTCTAACAAACTTTGTTAATAACAGAGAGTATAATTTTTGCGAAGACTCCACTACCAGTCAGACAAATATCTACTATCTCCACGCTATGACATATACTAGAGTTTATAGACTACTGCATATAGTTGGTTTATTACAAATTGGGATATTAAATAAAACAAATGTTGCAAATAAGATTTTCTTTAATACCTACATTAAACTAAATTAGCATTAATTAAATATACAAAAGAATACTAAGTACTACTATTCCACACCACCGGCCTTTTCGTTTTGTCCTGCGTGTGGTTCATAGATGTTTTCATCCAAATCACCGTAATTACCTAATAATCTCTGTCCTGTGGGATCGAATGGAGACTTGGGGTGGAAGTTGGCCTTGTACCGTGTCCCCATGACTTCTATTTCGTAGTTACCCTCTTTTAGGTACTCGGGTGTCACTATTTTGCCATTATTCGTGACGTAGCCAATTCCAACTGGTTTGTCTAAATAAAACGCGTAATCTCCTCTTCTCAAGTATCCCACGACCTCTCCATTTCTGTAAATTGCTTCCTGACCAAAAATTGCTACCTGGAAATGTTTCAATAAAAAAAGCGATAAGTACTTAATTATAAACTTCTTCTACTTCGTTATGATTTGAGAAATGTTTTAAGTCGCAACTTTGATAAGTATACCTAGTTACCTCCCTTATGTAATGCATTAAAACATGTGTTGTAATGGATTCAAAAAATAAAAATAAAACATAGTATAACATAATACACAACAGCGAACAAGTGTTCTGTTTATTTCTCGTTTAAGTAAAACATCTATGTTGATTCGAACCCAGGACCACTCGTGCTTAACGCAATGCTAGACAACACGTTGAAATATTTAGGTACAGAGGCGGCCTAAATGTTCATAGAAATATTACATTATCATTATGAAGAATGCCTTTAATTAATATTATAAAAATAAAATTGCAATTCTATTACACTAGATACTTTTAGAGGAACAAACATTTTACCTTGTCTTCCAATGTGAAGTAAGCGTATTTCTTAGTGACACCTTTAGATTTTACTTTAGTAACTACATCATTACCAATGTAGTCTCCATCTTTGCGACACGCAAAAGAGAGGTTCGCCTCCACTGGATTATCATCAGTCCTTAGATCCGAGTTCCATAAGTGATATCCTGTAAATTTTATTGTTAAATTAATTATTTTATTATGACTATTAATAATGACTTCTGTAGCGGTAAAAATCTAATTACTAAATGTAAAGTTAATCTTTTCCCTTTCATTTTTTCACAAACATACTTACCAACTTTGTCTTTTTATAATTAAAATCATACACTGCGTATTATAAAACAATATAAGAAATAATTTTCTAATTCACAATATAAAAGCGGTTTATTATTAATTAATTATGATTGTATTTTAAATGGGACCTTTTTAACGGTTTAAAACGCCTAATGTATTACTTAACTTATTCACAAGTAATTTTAATTACGGCCTGACATTTCGGATACTTTACAGTAGACGTGGTCAAGGCCTTTAAATTTAATAAATTTTAAACAAGTTACTTAATGTACAAACAAACAAGTAAATACATAAATAAACTAACACATTTCATGTCCTATACCGTTAAATCTGTTTTATTCAAATGTGTACTACTTGCGTAAACTACAGACTGTCTGTAGCTTACAGCATCATTAATATCCATTTGTAGTCGCACTCCGAGAGTAGAAATATAGCAAAAATGCTTACCTTTTTCAATACTAAGAGAAGTGAGTGCCCTCCAACCAGCATTTGTAAGTCCAGATGCAGTTTTCAACGCCCTATACACTGGTATTGCGCTAGACGAGGGAATATGTAGCTCCCAACCCAATTCACCAGACCAGGCCACACGTAATGCTCTGCAAGTGTAGCTCTTATTCTCTGGGGAATAAGGCGCTTTCGTTACGTGAAGACTGCGGTGGGTGTTTATTGGGAACGCGTCGTTTGATAATCCGGCATTTGTGTATCGTTGGAGGATACGTTGACTAAAAAATTAGAAATAAGTATTATAGTAACAATTGCCACCAATTTTAGTAATGAGAACTAGATCTTAAGTACAGTCGTTACCTGTCAGGACCTTGAATAGCCAATACACATATTTGTTTGCTAACATCTGTGATAGTTGCTCGTAGTTTATGCTTCTGTATGATCCGACGCAAATGCGCAAGAGTGTGATTAGCGCTAAAGCCACTTGTTACAACGTAGTATCCTAGGCCCTGCAACCAAATTATTAATGTTTTAGGCCACGATTGGACAAAGGATTTAAGAAGACATACCTTGTACATAAATGCATCTAAATTATGTAATACAGTTATAGTTAGAAACTAACTTACACTTACTTTAACAATCCGTACTAATATCCTTAATAAAACATTCGTAACGGTTCGTAATTGAATTAGGTATTTCATTTGTTCCGGACCACCAATCTAATGAAGCAGTAGAAAAGTCGAGTCATACTTAAAAATAGACAAACTCAAATTCGAGTATTAAACCGTTAAAAGCATAGTATTTAATGTGAATCTCTTACATACATTACAGATACTATAAAACACATTATGTTTTAGTTATGATGCCGCAAGCTTTAGTTAATTTTGTCAACACTATTTTATCGCAAGATGGCGCTTTTCTAAAAGCTAAAATTCCCATAATTTTGGAAATAAAAAATAAATAAAACATCTTATAACGGTTTAAAACAAGACTGTGACCATCAAAAACTGTTTTATTTTAATGCATATTACTCGCGTAAATTACAGACAGTACTTAATGCACAGTTGCATTACAGTTGGTATATTTCCACTCACTTTAAAAATAGGTTCGTGTAATTGACCGCTTCCTCCATCTATCTTACAGACAGTAAGATCTGCTTCCACGCCGCCTTTTTCATTCAATAGCAACGAATACACTACACTGAAAATTTTATTCGAACAATGAGATATTTATCGTGAATGTTAACACTATTCCCAATCAAATTTCAATGTTATCACAATTTTAAAATGTCTATTTTTTAGTGAAATTAGCTCGAAATGTTAAACTACCGTACCCATTTTCATTCTTGTTAAGATTAGCTGTAAATGCTAAATCAGCTGTGCGTCTTGCATCTGGGCCGGTCAAATAAAATTTCCCGTAGTAAGACAAATTGAAAAGCGCCGCTGCCTTCCTACACGCCAGAGCCTCTTTGCCAATCTAGAACAGGAAAAATATTGAAACTTTATCTGTATAAAGTTCTCTGACATTATAATTATATAGCTTCTAATATTTTCTGCCGAGAGAAGCCAATCGCAGCGTTTCCCCTCTGTCAAATTAAAGCACAAAGGTATCACTGCAAGTAACAAAACTAATTGCGTTCGGATTTTTAACTAAACCGAGTCTAGTTGTAAAAGTCCACGTTGCTGTTTATAAAAGGATGGTGTTACATTTCACATGTGAATTAAAAAAAAAATTGTGATAAATATTCATAAGGCCTTAAAACGGACTGTTTGTGTGATTCAAATTTGCCTGACTTGTTTACCGACATCAAATCAGCGGTCAGTACAAATCTCAGATCAGGTGAGCAACAAATCTGAATTACTTTATCTAAACTGCGCTAAGCGGTCATTAAAATGTCTTAATGTGAGTGGAGTGGCTTATCTATACAAGTTTTATTGTATTTTTCTATTCGTCATGAGAGTGTACTTTTGGGTGGGTGTGTTTTGCTTCTTTGGGCAATTGCATTTGTGTGCTTACCTCAAAAGGTGTCAGAAAAAAATGTACGGAAAATAAACCCCTTAGGCGTAAACCTTTTTGCTAAAAATTGTAGTCAATATCTGATATTTCTCTATTTAGTTTTGTAGAGATAAAATAAAAACTCACAATATCATGGTACTTGGAGAAACCAAATGAATATTCGCCCTTTAAGATGTCTTCATATCTCTCGTCCAAGTTTCTTGGGAAGCCGTGTGCACCACCCCAATCATACTGCTGAATTCTTATCTGAAATTTAAAAAAAATGTCTTAAGAGCAACATACACACAGAATCATTTATGTTTTTTTATAATAGATAAAAATAAAGATGATAGAGGAAAACAGACTAGTAGGAGGTTTACAGACTGATACATAAATGTGATTGAACTTCACAGCTCTATGGATGCCTTGCAGCAGCCGTTTAAAGGCGCTCTAACTACACACACACACGAATTGGGACTAAATGACAACACTTAATGCTTTAGAGTAAAAATATATACTACGATTATTCTTAATTCTAAAAAAAATCATTGTATCATTCATCAACTATACCTTTTCTCCTGGCAAGAAGAAAGCCGGTCGCTCCCAACCAGCTCTCATCTGCATTATAGCGCCATCTTCCACCAGCTCTTGGTGCAACGCGTCATGACTTGAGTCACGGCCTGCAAGTGGTTCGTCGTTCGGGAACACTATGGAGTAGTTCTTGATGTAGGCTTCGAAGCTACTCTCCCGCGCCCAATGCACCCTCGACATTTGGGCTGGCGTGAATCGTCGAATGTCGAAAGAAAACATGTTGTAATTTGGTCTGAAATATAATTATATAGGAGTGAAATCCTGTACCTTCCCTTGAGGCATTGGGTGAACACATTTATGTGTCTGTTTCTCTTTACTAGCAAGTGGATGAACAGACTTCTGTACCCTGCTCGACAAAACAATCTATTGTTTTCTCGGTATTCGATGATAAGATCTATCTACTCTACTCTCTATCTATTCTCCTATCATAAACGACTGCTGTCTGTAGTTTACGTGAGAGTACACATTTAAATAAAATACTTTAACGGTTTAAAACGTGTCTTCTCGTGACCACGACTGCGGCAAAGCATCCGAAACGTCGGGCCTTAGTTAAAAATGAAATGTTGAATTTTATTGAAATTTGCTCGACTTGTTTACCAACATCAAATCAGCGCTCAGTTGAGCAACAAAGAATTACTTTACCTAAAATGTGCTACGTGGTCATTAGTCATTAAAATGTCTTAATGTGAGTGTGGCTTATCTATAAACGAAAGTAACTCGGTTTTTTTAATTATTATACTATATTATTACAACGAATACATTACATAATAGAACAAATATAGAGAAGAATAACGCAACAAAATTGTATCGGGCATCTAAACTATTCTATTCTGTCTTGATTCTACATCGTGCAATCTTTTATACTATACTACTCGTACTATTATATATTTTGCATATCGACATAAAACCGACCTTCCTTTAACAATCCATTCCGCTAATTGCACAGCACAACCAGCAGAAAACATCATTCCAGCTGAGTTGTAACCGCAGTTGTGATACAAGCCTGAAGAAAAAGGTAAACTTCAAAAGATCTCTCTCTAGACTGAAACTTTAAACAATAATCAGGATAAATATAAGTGAAGTTATATTTTCTCCTGTATATGCCGGTCTTTGCCTTGTTATCTAAAGCCTTATTTAGATTTTTTATGGCTTGGGCTCTTTCACTTTCCACCAAGTGAACCTTGCCTTGCCTGTCATCCTCTATCACAAAAAAGTTTATTATGTTATTTAGATCAAAAATAATCATCACAAACATCCTTAAACTCTCTATCTGCTTTTGATTGTACAATTTAAAGAACCATTACCAAAGACGTTAGGGTCTTCTCCCAGAATAGGTTTGTGGTCTGGAGTAAAAGATTCCGGTCCGCACACAGTACTCTTGATACCAACGTCAGCGAGTTTTGGACAAAGGGACGCGGCGCTCTCCATGTGGACATTGAAAATATCCCAGTTCAAGTCGTAAAGGTGGAATTGGAGGTTGTCGGGAAGCTGGTAAGAGCATTGAAGTTAGATACTTGGTCATTTGAAGATGCAGATGCACGTTGCATGCAGTTGATGTACGGCTATTAATCAGCAGGTCGTGGGTTCCAACATTTTTCTAATCAATTTATATTTTTCTGAAATATGTTGGTCTTCGTCTGGTAATATCGATATTCAATGGGTAAGAATATCGAAATACCGTCTGGGTCACGAACCACCGCAACAGTTGAAAAAGCCGTGGAGTTTATCACGTTTCGGTATCATTCTGTGGATATCACGAAAGCAAAAATTGGTCGATTTTGACGGCGGTGATGGATGTTACGATGATGTTGATGATACATGTTAGTCCTCAGGGGCACTGGAAACCGACACATCATCGCTACTCTTTGATGATGTAGACCGAGCCGAGTGCTTTCTGCCATTTAACAAGCACATTTTTTTGTACACAATTATTAAGCAATAGTTAAAATTTGTTTATCTTAATGTATGTGTGAACTAAATGGTTGGAGTTTGTTGATGGTGAAAAACTCACTTGATCCAAAATCAATGGATTACTTTCGTAACCACCAATTTGACAAGTCTCGCCTTGAATCTTGATATATAGATTAACATCGTGGTCCCGTATATTCGGGGCGTTCCTGATCTCTGGAATACCATCAGTCACCACGTATGCATGCTTGAAGGGTACTAGCGGCAGCGCTGGTATGCCAGCGAATCTTGCTATTCTTGCGCCCCAGGCACCTGTAAATAATTTGTCATTGCTTAATGTCTGTTGCTCTAACCAACGATATTTATATACCGTTATAATCGTTTTTTTTAATTTAACTAACAGTAGTTGAATAATTCTAATTCACAGCTAAATCTTACCCCCAGAGTTCACGACGCATTTGGTTTTAATAAATCCTTTTTCTGTGTGTACGCCTGTCACTTCTTTATTTCCCAGCATATTGTGCTTATAATAGATATCGTGGACTGGACATTCTTCGTACACCTATAATAGAAATTCGTGGGAGAAAAATGAATAACTCTTAAAAAGAAACTTAGATATCATAGATCATCTAAGCAGAATGCGCTGTAAATCTCTTTTGGCTTTAAATATTCAGAAGTCCATACACATTCTAAAACACGAAACACGAACACGACACTTGACGGCTATTCATCAGTGGACGGTGGTCACAAACCACCATCCACTGATGAAAAGAAGGAATTTCGGTATTCCTGCCACCCATTTAATATGCAGATTTCCAGGAGAAGTCAGAGAATATTTCAGAAAAATTATAAATCGATTAGAAAAATGTTGGTCCCGGTGGGGGCCGAATCCATGACCTGTTTATTGTTTGCCACAAATTCCTTATATCAATACTTTTAAAATATATGTTCATCCGCATGTTAAAAATAGTGACCGAGTATCTAACTTCGATTTTCCTACCAGCTTTCCGATAACCTCCAATTCCACCTTTACGACTTGAACTAGGATATTTTCAATGTCCATATGGAAAGCGCCGTGTCCCTTATCCAAAAAACGACAAACAACCACACGTTCCCCCTTTTTTGATTCATAATATTTTTAAAGATCCGGTTTAAAAATACTTACTTTTCCTCCGTTCGACTTGGCAGCTTTCAAAAGTGCGTTACACACCATGGTTGGGTCTACGACTCCATCTTCATGGGAGTAGAGGGCCATTTCAAATACTGATGGGTCTAGAAGTGGAAACAGCTTCTGTGCATCTTTCGGGGCTAGTACTTCGCTGTTGATACCGAAAGCCTTACCCAGCGTGTGTAAACGAAGGTACTCCTCCGTACGAGTCTGTAAATGTTAATTTATTTAGATTTAAAAATGACACGAGCTTGAGCTTAGCATTCTTATTATACCAATTTATATAATCTCGTTTAATTCGTGCACTGTAATTAAAAACTTTACACTGACGAATTTATGTTCAGTGATGATGTTGTTAGCGACGCCATTGCACATGAAAAGTTTTTTTTTGATTGCTGTATAGTATAAAAGCATCATATTTCATTATAGATATATTTTTGATCTGCAATATCGGCTTAGTTACAAACAGTAGTTTATTGTAAAATTTTACTTAGGATCCTACTTTAGGATCTTAATTCAAAATTCATATAATATTTGCAATATTCAATTTATAATAAAATGAATTGTAGTATTGTATAGCTATACAATACACCGTGTTTTGTTTCTTCATCACCGACTGAGAGCATAGTACAAAAATCTAGATGCATGTAAGTCATTAATCGATAAAAAGCAAAATAGTAAATCCGAAGGTAGTTTCAGAAATGTGTGAAAACCGACTTCTAATAAGGCATGAGAGACACATATCTATGTTTGTTTCATTTTTCGGCACAGGTAAATAGTTCCCTGCCCTACCCGACCGAATGATATAGAAGGATGGTATGTGACACTTAAGGCAACGTTAGACTAAACACAATTAGGGGCTCCAGACTTTATTAATGACTGTGTTCGTTATTTACAATCTTTTAAGCCTTCGTACGATACAGAGATGTAAATCGTATATCAGAGTGACATAGATTATAGATATGCTGACCTTACTTCTGGAGATAAAGAGCCCCCCGTTATTGATCCAGCCGGCATACTCCCCTGTTTCTTCTTCGAGGCCCTTATAAATGGCCCTCGAATCCCGCAACAGTTTAATCTCCAAGTCACTTGGTCGTAATGACCACACTAAGCCTGATTCAATATAGATTTAACTTCCCTATTAAAATTATTATATGCATTCCTATACATAAATATATATGTATAGAGTCTGCTAGAGGAAAATATAAACGTGCAAGGCAAAAATTTGTAAGAATTTTTTCCAATTATAAATAGAAAATTAGTAGAAAGCTAATCGATTTTTAATTTTTCTAAAGCGTACTGGATTTAGCTTGGAAATCAGGATATTAAATGGATGGTATGAATAACAACAATTCCGTCCGGATCACGAACCACCGGCCATCGATGATTAATAATCAACGGGTCTCGGGTTCGATGCCCGCCGGGTCCAACATGTTTTAATCAATTTATAACTTTTTCTGAAACATGTTGAACTTCGTCTGAAAACTTCGTCTGTCCACAAACCACCGGCTACAGATGGTTTAAATCTGTGGTTTTCCAAAAGTCCAAAGTCAAAATAGATCGACAGGTTAGATGTTAGGCTGGGTGTTCAGCGAGCCTCTCGTACCACCACTAGTAACTAGTATGTAGTATTAAGGGATACAGGGTGCAAACCTGCGTGTATAACATTATCCGTACCAGCTGTGTGCCATGTTGTCCCGCTTGTAATTTTAGCCCGCTCCAACAGAACTGCGCTGACGCCTCTTTTTGACAGCTGATATAAAATGTTGCAGCCGGCTACGCCGCCACCTTTATAAAACAATAACGGTAATAACGGAAGAATCATTTTGAATTTGGAATTGTTTGTCCAACTCGAAATTCAAATTTATTCTTAAAATTTGCTTTGTTTTAAATCTTGTTATAGACAGCCAGTATGTTTTAAAAAATGTTGTTCTACTTCAATTGAGAAAAAGAATCGTATCTGTAACATACAACACTAGAACCTTTAATTTATAGTCTTTTATGAGATTTTCAAGGATCAATTCCTTATTAAATTAACACTCATATTATATGTATAGGTATTTAAATTTTCGAAATAAAAAATGGGCCTATTTCAATTAAATAAATCCTATATATTATGTTACCCTAGGCTCAATCTATCGATATTATCGTGAGAACTACGAAAAATCCGCTTAGTACTTTTTGAGATTTTCGTGTAACCACATAATATAGAGCGGCAAATATATTTTACTCAGTTTTTCATTATCAGCAACAGTCAAAATTCATACTACAAATAAAAATCCATGATACACATGAACATAGACCTATCTTACTTACCTTAGCTCACAATAGCACACCAAAACACTTACCCACTATGACGACATCAGCCGAAGACACCACCTCAGTCTTAGCTGAATAAAACCTTTTCAAAATTCCAAGGCGCTTCAGATTTTTTATTTTCGAATTTATACATTTATTTTGAATCACTTTAAACATTCTTACCCCAAAATAACTTCAGATTAAAAAAAATGAATTAAACAACGTACAATTAATTAAAATATAACGTACTAAGGTCCGAAGTCTACAAGAAATTGCGTCAAACATACATTTTCAGCAGATCAAGAGTAACTGATTATTACTGTTTATTTACTCCTTAGCGAACTCTGCTTTCAACCTCTGATAAAATAATAAATAAAATATTTGTTTTGTTGTTCCGAGTAAACCGAGTCAATGCTCGTTTTAAACATATTTTTTGACCTCAACGTTTTGTAATATCTTTTTGAAGTTACATACTTCTTTGGTTTAGTCTATTTTTCCTGTGAAGCTATGTAAAATTTTCAAGCATCATTCGTTATGGTAATCTTTTTTAGAGGTACCTTTTACCTTTCCAACACAAAAATTAGTTTCTCCCCTACTTGCTGTGTATACTTTTACGATGTACCTTAGCGTTTTGCTAACTATTCCTCACACTACCCACTTAATAAGCCGTTTTTATTTATTTTCTCCTATACTTCAGGTTGCCTGGAAGAGATCGCTGCTTAGGGATAAGGCCGCTTATTTATAAGTTAGAACGTACGTAGTATTTTTTTTGTTTTGTGGTGGATGCTATAAATAATAAAGCTGTACTAAATAAATACAAGAAATGTTGTAAAAAAATCTATAAAATACATAAATAAAAGAGGCATTCCACATATTAACTTTTTTCTTCCGTTTTAGAATTAGATACCAAACTTAGAATAAAAACATGTTTTTGCCAAGCATTTTTAGTACTTATAATTGTTTTCTTATCGTTTTTATATACTTATAGTAATGACGTTTGTCGCATACGTATACAAAATACTGATAGTGACCACAGTAAACAACATAATAATAGCATATCAATTTATCGAGGGTTTGTGTTCAAGTCAAAGGTCTCGACAGTCACGGAGATAAGCAACTTCTATGGCAACTAAGCACATTATATCTTATACAAGTTTGACTCCCGTTTTTTCAATAAGGAAAACGTATTTATTGCGAAAAAAAATTATTCGCCTATTATACAGTGTCATAAAATTTATTTAGACAAATATTTTTCTTAGTTTGATAATCATCATCAAGGATATAGTATGATATGACGATATTATCTTCGTCGTAATAGCGAATCGTCAAGAACGATTTACGACGAACACAATTACGACGGTCGAACACCTCGACAAGCCGCAGATAAATATCGTTAGGAAACGGAAATAAGTGATCAGTAGAAGTAAAATTACAAAAACCGTTTTGTAGGAAAAAACTAATATTTATTTTCTAATAAACAATTTTATATCTTACAAATAATAATTATATATAAGGTAATCTGTACAACATTTATTTTAAAGTATGTTTATCTTACTAACGTTTATACATTATTAATAATAAAATATATCTAAATATTGTATGGAGTCCGGCTGATACCAGTATTCGGCCAAGACATGAATGATTATCAGGTTATAGTTTTTAAGACTTACAATGTTTCTTAATTCCATCACAAAATAATTAAACGTAATTTGTAGTTGCTGATAAAAATATCAGCATAATTAGCGCATTACCTAGCAGTGGGTTTAGCAACAGAGTCCCTAGGTTCGAATTCCGGAGAAATATAGTGAATCGGTTCATCAGGCAGAGCACAGAATTCCGACCAAATATTTAAACAAAGCTTGGTCTGAGGCTAAAATGTGTCTGCTATAGGGCAAGCAGTATTTTTAGTAGTGACTTTATATAAAAATACTAGCTGAGCCGGCAAACGTTGTTTTGCCATATAAATAATTTTACTAAAATGTCTATTAAAAAATAAGGGTTGATCGTAGAAGGGTGAAAATTTTTTGTTTGCTGTATCATAAAAAAATAGAAATCAAAAATTTTGTCGAAAAAATAAATGAAAAAATTTAAGGGTGAACAATCCTTATCACTTAAGGGGATGAAAAATAGATGTTGTCCTATTCTCAGACCTACTGAATACACATATCAAATTTGGTGAAAATCGGTCGAGCCGTTTCGGAGGTGTTCAAGTTCGAACACCGTGACACGAGAATTTTATATATTTGATTATTCCAAGGCATTTTACAAGGAATGAATAAATTCTATAATGATGAAAAACACTTTAAAGTTAACAATATCTGTGTAATTTCATACGAAAACTACTAATTGTATTTGTTGACGGAGCTTTGTTTTTGGCAAAAAATAGGACATCTTAACACAAAAATAATACTAAAATAATGGCAGTCCCTTTTGCTATACTACCAAACGCTGTTAAGATTATATTTTAAGATATAGTTTTAAATCCTAAATAACATTTACCGTATTTATGTATATCTATGTTAAAACGTAAAGGATACCAAAAATAATTTTCAGTTCGGGACAATAAAGGTTCTTTGCTCTTCATTTGTTTCAGTTCAGACGTGGTGCGGACTGGCAACGCGGGGTGGCGTGAGGGCCAGGCGATGTTGCCGCGCCGCGTGGTCACCGGCTGCGGCAGCTGCAGCAGCCTCTAGCTGCGCGCGCAGCGCTACAAGCTCTCGGGTACGTTGAAATATTGGATCCTATAGAAAGGGGCATTATTATTATATTGTAATGTATCGAGGAGACAATGTCAACTAGAGTTAGTCAATTATTTAAACAATGTGCTGCCAGACTTATCAGTTTTTTTTAGTAGGATATGGTTTGAAAGGTTTATAGCTACAGATAAATGAATGAAAAACAATCTATAATATCTGCGATGTGCGTCTTAAAAATATCAAAAATTAAATGACTTTGGAAAATTATCCCTGAGAACTATTCCTTTTTTAGTTTTATTAATAATTTTTTTGAACATGTAAGTCTAAGTCTGGCAACACTCTGCACCAGTTTATTAAATTGTACTTTCCACTTTCATCCAGATTTATTCCTTACCTGTTGGCGCATTGTTGGGTTCCACCTGCAGTATAACGCCTTCCACAGCTTAATAATTCTCAGAGACGCGACTGGAACCAAAACTGTCTGCGGTCGGGCGTACGGCGAAGGGGGGGTGTTTGGACCGAACGCACTCGGAGCCCAATACAATGGATTCAAATAGAGGTCTTGTCTGCTGTTTATGTATGACCATAGTGAGACTGTCTTAGTCTTTACTTCTGAAAGTAAAATTAATTTAGTCGATATGTGTTAGAAACAAATATATATTTAATTAAGTTTTTAGTCAGTCTTAAAAGTTTTGAACAAGAAAAAGTAAAATGTGTGTTCTGTCCTTTTTTATCAAAAAAATAAATAGAAAGGAAGTGGCTGGAATATGGAAAGGAACAGAAAAGAAGGGGAAAAGGTTGAGGGCCCCCTCCAAGCCTTTGCCGAGAGGCAGCCGAAGAGAAAATAGCCAGTAAGTGACTCTTTTACTTCCAACAAGGCACAAATACTTATTTCTAAAAGGATAAAACCACAAACGTACCTTCTTTAGCCCTCTCTCGTTCAGTGTTAAAGAGGAATGTACCAAAACGACACGAGTACAGGTGGTCGACGATCGTGATTAGGAGGCGCTCAGTGAACTCGAAAGCCGTGGGGAACTGCTGCTGAAGTTGCCACACGCAATCTACCCACTGCACGAACACGGGCGAGCGGTCCGCATCTGAATGGCGCTCGTCGCCGTGGCCTATGCGCTGAAATTTGTGTTATCATTTACTAGCACTGCATGGAGTTGCGGTCGTGTCTGTCGCTTCTTCTAATTAATCTTAGTTACTTGCGCCATTGGTTTAAACTTTAAATTTAAACAAGTAAATTTAACTATTAGTGATTACAAAAACTTGACACAATTACAAATCTTTTAAAGATCGGTAATGGCAGTAGCACGGATGGCTGAGGATATGGGCCGCCCGTGCCATCTATTTTTTTTAATCTAAAAAAAAGTTTTTAATTTATAACCTAAAAGATCCTAAGTTACCGATATTAGTTTTTTACTATATATTAAAGTTTCAGCCTTATTATTTAATGATTATTGTTATATACTACTTATTTGACGTCCACCAACGGGACGTCAATATATCGGAAATCTATATATTAAATGGATCGTACGGATATAAGAGGTCCGCCCAGGTCACGTACCACCGTCCACAGATGAAAAAGCCGTCAAGTATAATCGCGTTTCGGTCAGACTGGAATTCCGAATATCCAAAGCCAAAATATGTCAACAGCAACCTACCATCAAGTGATCCCCACGCTTGTCTTTCCTTCTCTAACATATTAAAAATCTAAGACAAACATCTGAATGAAACTTTCAAAGCGTTATTAAACACTTACCAACTGAAATTTGTGGCCGAAAGAGAGCCACTCCTTCTCAATGAGCACTTGAAAACCCCGAAGGGTCCTATAGTAGGGATCTAACATTAGCATCGCAAGCGCAGTGAGCTGCGCAGTCCGATCCCAACCGTCCGAGCAATGCACGAGGACGGATGTCTTGTGGTTCTCTACCTGAAAACATAACATATTGACTTTTCCATTAAACCATTTTTATAAGTTTATATTCTGTAATGTGCGTGAAATCCCGTTTCTCCAACTCGTGCGGGCAGCAAATAGATTTATGTGTCTGTTTCACTGATCTGTTTTTTTGGAGGGGAAGGGGGTTGATCAGACTTCTGTGCCCTGCCCGACCGAAACATTTTTTGTTTCCCTGGGATTCGAACCCAGAACCTCTCGGGCGTAATGCAATGCTAGGCAATACGTTTAACTATTTGGCTACAGAGGCGGTCACGTCTCTGTATTTGTCTTGAAAATTTCGTTTCAAGTGATTCTTGGTCACCATTTAAAATATTACATAAATATTTCTCTTTGATGCTTTCTACTACTATAACTAGAAATATGTGTTAGATTTATTTAATGTTTGTGTTTTAATGTTCATTATTTTAATGCTACAAACTATTACAGACTAAGTTGTTAGACTTCTGTGCCCTTACTCAAAGTTGTGATTTGAACTCGGTACCCTATCTTGCTTCAGCCACAGACGGTTGAAGTATTCCTCAACAAATAATATTTGTATGATAAATAAATAATGATCATTTCACACAATCACATATTTATTATGACATCATATGTACAATCTAACTCACCTTATCAACTATTCTCACAGCACCAGCCAATATACATTTTATATGCTTCAGCCAACAGGTTGCTTCTATACCACTAAACCATCTAAACGAGGAGATAGGTACATAATTACTTATATATCAATAATCTTTAAGTCAAAGTAATGTCTGTAAAGTATCTCTTCATGGTGGCTGTGAATCTCAGCTCATGAGGTCAAAAACTCTCACCTCCTGTCTTTTCTGATAAAAAAATATCCTGAGGAAACCGGGAGCAGTAACCAGTAATCTGCCAACATGCATTGTTTGTTATGGTATTTATTATTATCCAAAGATTAGAAGCCCTAGACCCAAAAGATTGTGTACCTTGTTTGATCTATCTGCGGGAAGCACAACTCCTTCAATTTGCGTAAACTCTCTCTCATCACGTGAATGTTGTGTATATCCAGAAACACTAACTCTGCGTTTTGATATGCGTCTTCTGATTCGTATCTAGAAATTTCAAAATATGTCACTTGTCATAATATTTTCCTTATAAATAAACAATCACAAAAAAATTGACGAATTAAAACACAAATATACATGTCAATAGTTTACGCGAGTAGTACACATTTAAATAAAACACTTTAACGGTTTACAACGCGATATATTAGTTAAATTTATTTGAAAATGATTTTTAACTTCGGCCCGACGTTTCGGCTGCTTTAAACCGTTAAAGTGTTTTTATTTAAACAAATATACATATAAACTTAATAATACATATATTGACTATATATTTGGAATCTGGAGTTATTGACAATCTCTGTTTGTTTTAACGCGCTAATGTTACTGGTTCGAATTAAAAGAAATCTTATCAAGAAAGGCTTAAGCCTATTAAACATCACGCTGCGAGCAATAGGCGTGAAGAAATAATGGAAAATGGAACAAACAGAGAAAACTATTCGTCTTTGAGTTTGCCTTGTGTGCGCTACAAAAATGGGTTCTAGATTCAAAAAAATTATATGAAAGGAAGATTCCTTTTTAAATGAACTAAAAAACACAATAAAAGAACAAGACTATCTGTATGTTTATTTCTTACCCTCCACCTTTAGCTTTATTGGCGATAGCGTTAGCACTGGGCCTCGCATCCATTATAAAGAGCTTATGAGCTTGCGCATTCGCATCCATTATTAGCTGTATGTATCTCTCGTCTTCTCGGCTACGTTTTCCACTGACCTGGAAGAGTTTATATAGTACTTTTAACACATATATAAATATATCCACACGAGGGCCATACCATTTAATCTTTTTCACTTTGACAAACAATACTAGAACAGGAGATAATATCAAAGAAGTGAAAATGGAACAAACAATAAGATTTTGCAAGCAAACTCGAAGGTTTCAATGGGACATAGTGAGAGATGGATAACACAAAGCAGGGAGAAAATGGAGCAATGGGTGAAACAGTAAGTAAGATAATGTGGACTTAACACCTGGACTTGTATTGGCATACCCAATAGACAAAATATATATATCCTAGGTTATGTAAAATGGGGAAATGAGTGAAATGGTCAGCTGATGACATGGACTGATTACCCCTCCTACCACAGGTGTCCCGCAAAAAAATAATAATAGGTTATGTATACTGATGATATGTGTATCAATTATATGCATACCCCAACTAAAGGTTGACTGCATCTGGTAATTGTTGCTTGGGAACTCGGATGTATCCAAGCCAGCACAGGTATTCTACCTCGGGAACGGAAAGCAGCAACCGAACGTAATAGATCGTCGTTGGCAGCAGCGGGAACAGCCCACACAGATGGATAACTATCACAAATCTCATACTTATCATTGATTCTTGTTATCCGCCACATATCATTGTTAACACCCTTGAAAGAAAAAAAATATCAAAACATTTATTAATTAAATACTAAAATGTTTGTATAATAATTTGATAATACATATTTGTACTTGTCTTGATAAAGTAGCTAAATTATTGTTCCTACAACTAAGCCAAAGGTATATATTATGATGATATGTATCAATAAGTATGTGTATTTAACCATAAAGGGGTATACATCTCTTTTTGTGTAAGTGCCTGGCCCTTACCCATAAAACTCATTTTATTATATCATTTATATATAAATTATTATCTTACCATGCGTCTTAACTCAACAACTGGTTCATACACTTGCCAGCCATCTTCTGTAAAACTCTCAGAATAGCTAAATGCAAAAAGTGGCAATCTATGAGAAAGAGGAAATGCAAGTTGCTGCAGTTTCTCAAATATCCCACGTCTGGAATGATTTTCCTGTTTGTGTGCAAATCTTAGATTACGCATATCCTATAAAACATACAATTATGCTTTAACTATTTAAATTTTCCTTATGTTAGTTACAGGACTACAGAATTATTAATCTGTACCTTACAAAACACTTCAATCCCATAGGAGTTTTCACCTTTTGATGAAGCACCACCGACTTTTTCAATCCTAGAGACCTACAAAATGTATTTTTTCAATAATTATTTCATTTCACTTATACAATTTTAGTAAATGTCCAAAATCTTATAACTTACAACACCCAAAGGAACACTTAATGTTGCCTGAAGAGATGTGACATCAGTTGGTCGAAAATGCAACTGGTAATTAGTAACTTTTAGAACACCTCTTGATGGACCGCTGTATGGGCACAGATAAGTAACATCTCTAGCGACCCCCATCACTTTCTCACCATCCAGAAGTTGTATATCACCCAGTATATGAGACTGAAATGTCAGTACAAATTATAATTGTATATCATCATATAGCATTTTCACATTATCACAAAATTTACAAGCCTTTGAAAATTCTTTATATTCCCGTTGACTCCGAATTCGATTAATAAACAAGCAAACGTGCATGGATTTACTCATAGTTTACTCGTACGAATTACTGTATGGTACTATAGCTTCAACGAATTTGAAGTACGAATAATATAAGCAGGAAGTCACTATAATGGAGGAATAACAGTCACAAGAATAAATTAGGCCTATTTGGTAACTTACGGATTCCTGTCCATGTTTAGAATTCAATGAACTAGATTTAGAGTCAGAATCTAATGAGTCGGAGCTTGCATTTTTAGAGAGAGAAAAGTCTGAATTCAATAATTCGGAACTATTGTGTTTATCCATTTTCAGTTACGCGCTATTATAAAGGAATAACAACGTATTTCTATTAAGTTTCAGGCCTGAACCAACGCAAAGACAGCATAAGCTATTACGAAAATATAAACACAATCTCAAGCCCTAATTAATTATTAGAAATTAAGTTTTGACGTTTCGACGTAAAAGCACAGATGTGGTCAAGATGTGAGTTAGTTTTGACATATTGTGGCAACTGTCAATAAGTGATTATCTTTTAATTAATATTTTATGGCCTGGTAACGAGACTTTTAAGCCAAGTTTTGTTTTCACTCTTGTAACATGGAAAAATATTTTTACTTCTAAGTAAAAATATTTTTCAATTCACATTTCTTCTTATACATTGTTTAAACGCACTATAACACTTTTTGTTATTAATTAAATAACATAATTGGATAAGCCCTCATTACATTCTATCGACAGAATCAATCAAGACGTATACGTTATAAATAAGATTATTTAAAAACTGATTATTTGGTTAAATTGATTTTCAAAAGAAGCTGTAACAACAAAGCATAACAAAGTTGTTACTTAATAAAAAAAAAAATCTTTTACATTAAATAGTTAGTTAGTACATTAAATCAATTAACACTAAATAGTATTGACTTAGTTCACTATGATGCTGACTTACTTAAAAATGCTTAGGAGTGGAAGCTACTGAAACGTGTAGGTATGTTTTACAAGTCAGTATTTATAACTAAGTATTCAGCAAGCACAAGTTGTTATAGTAACAAACAACTTGTAACTAACTCTTAGCATTTATATGAATCATTCAAAAGTAATTATTTGAGACGTTAAGACTTTTTTACTGATACCAAAAATGAGATTTCCTTCAAGTATAAACGAAAATACATATTTCGCATATAAGAACAGTTCAAACTTGGAAAGTGAACGTGTGTTAAAAGCAGAAAATTTTGAATGGGACTTAAAACATCCGAAGTCCCTTTCTTCTATATGTATCGAAAATATTAACAAAAATTGGAATGGTAAGCTCTTTTTTAAAGTTTTAATTTAAAATACTATTGATATACTTATTCAATTAATTATTTTAATACGAACACTTTTCGAGTAAAATGTTTTTAACTTCATTCAATAAGTAAACCAAGAGATTACAATCGTACCTATACTCCGAATTTTAAATACGTCTCTTAGCAGTGCGAGAAATCTCAAAGTTTCGTTTGGATAGAATCGTTGAACAACAAAGGCGCTTTTAGTGCATAGTGATTATTTTTTAATGGTCTTCATTATCATTACTTAGGTTACATATCATTATTATTACTTAGGTTATCCAAAGCTTGAGGAACTTATACAAAAAGATCGAGAATACTTCCTAGAGATATTAAATGTGAACTTGCCTTTACAAGTATTAGTCGACAATATCAAAAATGATTTGTTTTGGAAACGTTGTTATTATTCAAAATGGTCAGATTATGTAGAAGCCATGGACAGTAAGCCTTGGATTAACATTTTCATGGAACGCTACTTTGCTGATATTTTGGAAAATATGAACCCACGGGAGTATGACCCTGAAAAGGTTCCGTATTAACCTAACTTTATTCATGACCTTAAATTGAGAATTACCAGAGAAACGTATTAAAAATCTAACACAAATTCTATACATTAAATATATATTTGCATCTCAATCTTTGCATCGTTATTAATTAACTAATATTGTTCGCCTTTTGAACGATTAAAAAGTGTTTTATCTATTATAATATTTGTGTTAATTTTAACATTACGCAAAACGGTTTTGTTATTGATTTACAATAATTGCAAATATAAATTTGATTGTAACACAGTCTATTTGTTTATTGGAGATCAATTCAAACCTTGTTGAGATTTTTCTCGTTTATATAGGCCATTGGTTGTAGATTCAAAGTTTAATAAAGCTATGCGGACCATACATAGAGTCGTTGTCGATACGAAGTTTCATACCCGCAGACATAATAAGTCAAAGGATAACATCACCAGAAATGGCGGATCTAATAACAACCCGAAAGCAAAGTGAAAATAAATTTTCGTACAAAAGCAATGAAGAGCTCTCAAGAGGTGTGTCAATATTAATTATTTGCGATGTGAAAAGGAATAAATAGGATCAGCTTAATAACAAACGGAGGGGGATGGGCACCTTCCTTAAAATAACCAAAAAATTATCGTATCTTTATTTAAAGTTATTCTTTAAATTCAAGATCACATCTCATTGCACGCGGCGCTGAGCAATTTGCAAAATTTAGTAGAATTGCACATCACATATCAACTACGACGTATCGGCGTTGAATACCGACGGGATCAATTTCAGTTTACTAATAACGATGCTAAAAATCTAGCGAAAGGGTTGCAAAACTGTAAACTACTAAAGGTTTTTAGGTGAGTAGTCGTAGTCGTATAGTTTTGCGTCGGTCATGTCTTTTAAACCAACTGTAACATCAGATCATTCATTTCACGAACAATAATACAAATCTTATCTATATTAGTGTGTGTTTTATTTGCTAGCATGTGATTATAGTTTATAAGTAATAATTTGTAAGTAGACCTATTAGATATTTGCAATAAAAATAGTATTGTAATTGCCTCGTTGGTTTAGTTGTTTATTGACCAATCGAGACGATCACGAGATCCCGGGTGGAATGTTTCTTTAGATATTTCCTAGTGGGTGATAAGCCTCGTGCTTCGCAGAGCACCAGAAGCAATCGGTCTCTTATATTATCGCTAATAGTGCACCATTATAAATGTTTACAATCTCGCCTACAAGGGAGAAAACCTGGAACGTTAGGTTGAAACGAGATATTAAATTAAAGAAATATTTTAATTTACAGAATTACAAGAACGGACCTAAATTGTCAAAGAGTAAAGTATATCCTTCGTGGCTTATTAAATGGTCCTCATTTAGAGACTTTGGACTTCAGTCATTGTAAAGTGGGCGATGAAGGAGCTGGTCATATTGCTAAGTTCATGGCAAAACACGATAAGTTACGAAATCTTATTCTAGCTGATAATATTTTCGGTTAGTAGCTCTTTAAACTAAGAAATAAAACTAATAATTCAATAGACATGTAACGCACAGTCAAATTAATAAATATGACGGGTTGACACTCTGCAAAATATCTGGAACCTCAGATCACAATAACACAAAGTATTTTTTTAATATATACGATACCGGCAATGACGTTTATTTTTTTTTAGGACCAACTGGTATTGAAATTATATCGCAAGTCCTAAATCACACAAGCTGTGGAGTGCGCATGTTGGATTTGAGACTCAATAACAAATTAGGATCTGATGGAATAGCTCACGTAGCTGTATCTGTTGCTAGGGGGTGTAATCTTATATCGTAAGTATATTAAAAAGAAAAGATTTATACAGTGCGTCCTATAGGCACGCACTTGAATATTGTAGACAAAACATTTTGAAAGACCTTACTTTTAGTTGAACAAATTGCTCGAACTATTGGCTAATATATGAGTTACGTATATATAGTCATTGATTGAAGAAGATAGACAGACATGGAGTTTACATGATATTAGGAAAAATACCCCAGCCATAAAACATCTAATCAAGATGCGTTGTCGACCTTTTTTGCATATGATATTTGAAATCTACTAACTGAAATCGAGGCGCCATTAAACTTGTTGGCTTTTTCATCGTGTTCGTGACGATTCGATGTGTTGGATATTACTACTCTCCAGAGTTTCAGAAGTCTAACATATTAGTTACAAATATGTAAATTGAAAATTATAAATTGATTAGACACCCGGTTGGGATCAAACAAATATTGATGGACCTTTTTTTTAACAGATTGAATATATCGGGCTGCGGAATCACACCAATCCCAATACAAAAGCCACCAGCTGGTGTATGGTCAGCCATTAACGCGGCAAATCCACCGACATGTGGGGATCTTTTGGCAAGAGCTATCGGCTTGGTTAAAACTCCTCTCCGCTCGTTTGACATAAGCGTGAATAATATCGGATCGGTACTATACTTTACTTGTAATATATATTTATTAAACAGGAAAAAAAATCTATAAATAACAATAATTGTTGGGTACAAACTTTAAACGGTTTAAAACGCGAAATAACAGGTTACTTAACAGCGTTCTACGTTTTTTTAAATAAATACATCGCGTTTTAAACCGTTAAATCTGCGTTATTTGATGATTGATTAACTGACAATTTTTCATTCTAGCCCAGTGATATGACGCTATCAAACGCAATTTGCTTAAGCTACTTAATAGATATTAATCTTAAAAGATCTGGGATGGGCTCCATTGCTATGTCCATCGCTGAATCAGCTGCTGCAGCTCAGCGACTTAGGAGAGAGTCAGAGAAGGGTATTCGATTTAGAAGAAGCGCTGGACGAGTGGTACAAGCCAGACGAGTGGTTAAAGGCATGAATATAGGTGCGTGTGGCTATAAATAAAAAAATATGAAGGCTATAAAACATCACGCTGCGACCAGTAGGAGAGAAGGAACAGTAGAAAATGTAGAAATAATGGGGAAAATTATTTATCTTTGTCGGTTTCCATTGCGCGCGCTGCAAAAGCGGTTCAAGATATTAAAAATATATGTATGAAATAATGATTCCTCTTTAGACGACTTAAAAACGTCCGCGACAGTATATGTATATCTTAGAGATTAACTTGCAGGTACGACAGAATGCGGCATCGTGGTTAACAGCTAAAATCTTAAAAGATAAACAGATGGCATAAACAACTTTTGATTCCCAAAATAACAATTCTACACAGCCATAGCTGTTATAGTATACATATAAAAGGAATTAATGTTATTTTTTTAAACAGACGCAGATCCTATTCTCCTTGCTCAACAACTTTCTGCACGTCCATCTATTGTATCTGTCGCTTCAGAGGATGGTGTATATTATAATGTACAAACTCAACCTTTACCGAGAGAATTTGGTTTCGTTCCAGTCTTGAAAGTATGTATCGCTCGTGCTGTATTAATATCAAAAAGTTTTATACTTAAATAAAACATTTTAACGGTTTAAAACGCGATATATTAGTTTAACTTTTATTTTTTAAGTTAAACTATTAAATAATAAACATCATACCGGCAAACGCGAAGACACCATTAGCCAATTCTGTAAGGACCCGGCCAGTTTTGCTAAACACCAACTTCGACGGCGACAGACGGCACTAGCGTAGCAATTTTTTAACTTTGACGTCAGAGACATCCTCCATCTTTAGTTTCCCCGTGACCACTGCTGCTGCAAAGCATCCGAAACGTCGGGCCAAAGTTAAAAATCATTTTCAAATAAGTTTAACTAATATATCTCGTTTTAAACCGTTGAAGTATTTTATTTAAATATGTACTACTCGCGTAAACTATGTATCCTTTTTATATTTAAGTTTTATATTTGATATATTGCAGTCTTCCCGCCCACAATCTCGAGGTTCGTCAGCGACTGGACCTACAACTTCACGTAGATCAAGTCACCACGTGTTGTTTGAAACTGATGAGGTAAAGGTATTAAAACGCTTTAACATTTTTCTTATTGCTTGAAACTTTTTAAAGGAGAATCCTTTTTTTTTGCAGAAATTATTTCAAAACAAATTTGAACGTCGCAAATCCGATGGTGCAATTCAATCCCCACACGGTCTTCAACAAATAAAAATATATGTTTCACGAGCACGTGACAATATTTAAAATATGATCTACATATATTGTATTTTACCACTAAAAATAAATAGTGCGTAAATCGATGACAAATATCTGGATTCTTTCTATTCTTCTACGAACCGTATTAATGCAAATATTTTTAGAAATTTTCCATAAAACTCTATTCGTCTATATTATGACTTCTACGTGTTAAATAAATCGAAAAGTAATGATGAAAAAACTTGCTAACCCAAAGTTCATTTTTACTTAATCTAAATAGATTTTTAATTTATAAAAAATATTCCATAAAACTCTATTCGACTGAATATTTTGTCTTCTACGTTTTAATTTTATTTAAGGCAATATCTGAATACGTTAACCTCGCGTTTGTCCGGGGTGGCGCCGGGGCCGCGCTTTTATTTCTGTTTTGGTTTTTGGGGGGTGGGGGCGGGCGGAAAATTATAGGTTTATTTTTTTTAATTTTATTTTTTAAAAAATATTTTTGGGGGTGACTTTTTTTTTTTTTTTTTTTTATTTTTTTAAAAAAATTTATAAGGGGGGGGGACTGGGGGGGGGGGGGGGGGGGGGGGGTTTTGGGTTTTATTCGTTGCTTTCCCCCTTTTTTTTTTTCTTTTTTCCTCGCCCGTGGCGGGGAGGGAAGACAAGGGGCCAGGGACAAGAAAGGGAAAAGGGAAAGAGGGGAGGAAAAAGGGGGGGGAAAAAGGGGGGGAGGGCGGGGGGGGGGGGGGGGGCGGGGGGGGGGGGGGGGAAAAAAAAAAAAAGGGAGGAAAAAAAAAAAAAAAAAAAAACAAAAACGGCGGAAAAAAAAAAAAAAAAAAAAAAAAAACAAAAAAGGGGAGGGAAACAAACAAAAAAAGAAGGGGAGGAACCGAAAAAAAAAAAAAGAAAAAAGGCACGCGCAAAAAAAAAACACACCCCCCCCCCCCCCCCCCCCCCCCCCAAACAACACCACCCAAAACACCAACCCCGGTAAACCAGGAAACAAAGCCCAACCCCCACGCGACCCACAGGGGAAAACCACCCCACCCCCACCAACACCAAAAACAGTTGTTGGTTGCGCGAACTACAACCCCCCCCCACACCCCCCCCCCCCCCCCCCACCCCCCCCCCCCCCCCCAAAAGAAAACCCCGGCAAGAAAGGAGGGGCCACAACCAAGACGGAAACCCCCCAACCCCCCCCCCCCCCCCCCAAGGAACCCCCCCCCGCCCCCTGGGCCCCCCAACCACCCGGGACCAAAAAACCCAACCACCCACACCCGCTAATTTCTTTCTTCTTTCAAACACAACAAGAATTTTATAAAACGCCCAAGAACCCCAAGACCAACCAGAACGTAAACCGGGGCCCCCCCCAAAACCCCCCCCCCCCCCGGCGCCCCACCCCCCCCCCCCAAACCCAGAAGCCCGCCCCCCCCCCCGTGTCCCCCCCCCCTCCCCCCCCCCCCCCCCCCCCCCCCCCCGCAAAGCGGGAGGCCGGCCCCCGCGGCCCCCGCCCCACCCCGCCCCCCCCCCCCCCCCCCCCCCCCCCCCCCCCCAAGTTGTGTTGGCCCCCCCCCCCCCTCCTTCCCCCCCCCCCTGTCGTTTTCCCCGCGGCCCCCCCCCCAACGCCCCGGAAACCCCCCGCCCCCCGCGACCCCCCCGGGGGCCGAAAAAGCGCCCCCCGCACCCGCCCCCCCCCCCCCCCCCCCCAACAAGCGCCGCCCCCCCCCCCCGCCCGTTGCCCCCCCCCCCCCCCCCCCCACCCCCCCGCCCGTTTCTTCCTGGGTGGTTGCCCCCCCCCCCCCCACGAACAAAACCCCCCAGCCGGCCCCCCCGGCCCCCGGGCGGCCCCCCCCCCACCCGAAGCACTTTTGGTTTCTCCTTTTCTTCTAATTCTTGCATTGCAATTTGCAGTCAGCCATGTTTTGTGTATGAATTAAGAAGTGAAGTGGTGATCTTCAAGTAAATTAAGGAATTTACTATGCGTATGAAATATATTTACTGATGGAAATAGTGTATTTTTAAATATACGATAGGTGCTAGTGATTTTTCAATGTGTTTTGTGTAATAGTGTGAAATTTACGCAAAAATGAATTGGGGAACTGAGCTTTGGGTAAGTACATTTGTAATTTTCCTTTCTACATAACGACAAAAATAACACGTAAAATTAAAAACCTGATTTTAAGACATACAATTTTATCATTTACTACAATTTATTCGTTAGTCCATTTGAATGATTTATATCTGTTTCTGTTTAATTAATTTCATTTACATAATTGCCTTACTTATTCATATTCTTATATCAATGTAGATTGGTGTTTCCTGCCAATGCATAAAAATGCCTACTAATACATATGTTTGAATAAAATAAGTGATGAAAACTCTTCTTGTGCATCATTGCATTTTTTAGTAAATACTAGTATTATATGCGACATTTTATTTTGTAATCTGATTCTAAATAATGACAGTTATTTCGACTTTCGCGACAAAAAACATGAGTCATTCGGTTATACACTTTACGTTTCATACTAAATAAAGAAAATCTGAACTGTTCAGTAGTCTTGAAAAAAAAAAAAAAAATCAAGAAAACCAAAATCGGGAAAATTTTAAGTTACATTTAAGATTTCTCTGCCTAAAACTTGTCTTCCATATGTTTGTTCTTACTTTATAATTTAAACAAAGATGAACTTAATAAAGGCCTTGAAATTTTATAAAGATTCAGAGGGAAGATTAAAAATATAAACTTCTTAGCAAAATGTAAGTCAAAATGTTTGAAATTATGGTTATTATTTATTAACAGTCATGCTAATATTTATAAATAATTTTCCTCTGATTCCTTCACATTTTACATAGAAAATAATTAGGTACTTAAAGAAAACAAATTAATGTGTCCACCATATTCTTAAATTAATTATAGTCTTATCTATTATCACCTTAAGTAATTACACATACATCATTTTACAAAGCTAAATAATTATTAACTAATTAGTAAATATGACAACAGTAATCACATACAATTAATAAATGTTATTTTGTGCCAAACAACAGTACATATTAAAGTTTGCAAATAACATGTTGTTTAGGTATGCTAAAAACAAAATCGACTTGCACACCATACACCATATGCTAGACAGATCTATTTTAGGAGTCTAAATGTTAAATTTTAGAGCAAATAAAAGGGCCAATGAACTCAATGGTATGTTGTATTTGTACAATTTACTGTCGTCATATAGATTATAACGTATATCTGAGTTTATTTTGAATGTAGGTTTGTGACTAGTTGTTGGCAAGGTGCAAGGCCACATTACTTTGCAATGGTCTTTACACAGCATTTACTTGTGATATAAAGTGGCCTATATGTATATGTTATGAAAAAGCAAAACCCATTTTTACTGCAAAGCTGCATCTGTTCTATTAATTGATATTATGTGAATTACACTAGATTTAAATTGTTATCTTACTTTTTACACAGTAGGTTAATTGTTGTGTGTCTTAAAGAGTTTTACATTTTTCTATACCTAGATTTGCCTACTATCACTGATAGTGAAGCTTTTTAACATTCTCTGCCCATTTTAAAGCTTACAACTCTTTGTCAATGAAAGGATTTTAATTTCGCAAGTGGAAATGGGGAGATAAAGGGTCTGAACAATCAAAATTACATCAGGTGGTGACAAAGTGGTTTTAGGGAGATGTCTTCATAGTTACAGACATACCCTCTCAGTATGTCTTTTTTAAGTTTTTGGAAGTAAGTAGTTTTATTTAGAATAGTAATACATAAAATAATATAACATTAAATATATGAGTTACAATGAAATTTGTGCAGTTTAGTTATTTAAACATACAAAATATACCCTATAAAATAAAACAAACAGTGCATCGTGTTCAAATCTTATGTCGTTCGCTTTCCATTAAGTTAACTCTATGCTAGTTTGTCCTCCTCTATCATAAAAGAAGTACAAAAATATGTATCATCACCGCATAAGGCCTAATTGCCATCACAAAAATAAAAGATATTGACCTGTAAGTAGCAAACAATTGAATTATCTTCAGTTGTCCATGAACTAGTTTGCTAAGCGTTTTGTAATCGCGACCTGTATAGCCGCCATACTTCGATAGGCATAGAGATCGTCTGCGAAAAATTATATATACCTAGTTAATTGTTGCAATCTTTAATAATCTCTCTACACGATGTGTGGAATAAGGCCAAAGCGAATATACTTTCAAAGTACAAGTCGAGTCGTATTTTATTTTACGCGAATAATACGCATGCCCGATATTAAATACGATTTTATAAACGGTTTAAAACCCGCTGTTTTGAAAATCTAGAGTTCTCTATGAAACCCGAAACGTCAACTCGTAGTTAGAAATCAACTCACTATCAACTGTTATTATTATTCGTTTTTAACCGTTTAAAATTTTGTATTTAATTATGGTTTTGACCTATGTAGAATGTTATGGAACATATGAAACGTGTTGTATATATGTAACTCTTGGTTTTTATTTATGCAATACTACTTTCGTTACTCCGTATTTACATAATGCGATAGCCCCTCTGTTAATATTTTGTTGTACACCATATTTCGTCAAGCCTTCGCCCCTGTAGGGCTCACGGTATAATTGATACAGTACAACTTGTCAGCATCGCAATGCAGGCGTTGAGATGGCGATTGGCAGCAGGTCCATTCGCGGACTCCAGCCAATAACCGGTTTGACCAGAATACGCGGAGCCGCACCAAATAAAATGGCGTCGGCGCTTCAGTGCCTCGCAGTAAAATCGACTGTGCACAGTTCATGTTTAGGTTGAAATTAAATATGATTGTTTAACAATTCATAAGTGTTATTAAAGCATCTGGCCGGGCTATTTTCGAGTATCCCTAAACGCTTGTACGATATAACTTCGCCAAACGCCACCGATCCGCGTCCGCTTTGTACAACCTACGCAGTACATCTTAACCAGGATCTAAACCTGCTTTAACTGATTGCCGTAGAGTCGAACTTATTCCGAGAATGTATAAAGGACCGTATTGTGGTTCTGATATTAATTGAGGGTGTTAAGAATATGGGATTATGATTCTTTGAATTGACTTTATTCGTTGTATGCGTAAAAAATGAGACGCAAATAACTAAGGATATCGATATATAAGGTTCTTCCACCTACTACATACTTGCTTTTTAATATTATGATGTTTCGAACGCCTTATATGGACACTGGTCCTGAGACAACTTTACGCGCGCCTACTCTAAAGAGATTTCGACAAAATTCCTTTAAAGTGACGCTCCTATTAAAATTGCCTCCGGTGAGTGGTTGCATTGCGATAAGCGCGGGTGATCGTGGGTTTGACTCCCGCGGGAACAATAGATTCGGGTTAGAACTCAAAAGATTAAACATGCTTATGAATAGAATTTGTGGAACCGACCCTAAACGTGCTGGAGAGAGACTTTATTTAATCTGGGTATATATTTTATCCAACCTTTTTTAATCGATTTTTTTCGTAAGAACGTAACGGCAGCATACTTAGGTATAACGATGCGGTATTATTTTTCTAAATAATTTCGTTACTGAAGCGCCTGTTACCAATTAAACCATCAGTTTTAATACACCACTGATTGTCATAGTTCTAATTTTTTAATATACGTACATAGTCGCAGTATATAAAATGTTTTATTATGTATATGTCACATAAATTTTACAATCTCATAAAACTAAAATAAAACTTTTTCTAAATCTAAAATCCGTGAAAATATCCATGCGGTTTTTAGAGATTTCTTTGTACTGATAGACAGGAACTATGTATTTTTTTTTTTCGATTTTCGTTTATGAAATGTACCTACAACAAAATTTCTATTGCTTTATTGAATAGATTCGCAAAAATCGAACAAACAAAATAAATCCTGGGTAATTCTCATTTAATTATAAAATAGTACTGAATATTATAAAAGCTGTACCTTATAAAAAGACAGACCTCCCATATATGGCAACTGTAGACGGTAATGAGCGTAAATATTGTATGGGAGCATGGACCCTCAGTAATTAAACTGCACAAAAAGCACCCATTAAGGGCAAGACCATAAAATGTCGTTCGTGATATAAGTAAATCTCTTTATTGTTAAAATGTCTACCATGCTTTGTTTCGAGTAAATACAGTTACAGTTTTTATAACGATTAACTCATTATAATATTTAAACGATGAAAATTAAACACTGTCTGTAGTTTACGCGAGTAGTACACATTTAAATAAAACACTTTGACGGTTTAAAACGCTATATATTTTAGCTAAGCTTGTTTGATTGAGTCGTGGTCATGGGAAGACAGACACGCGGTCTTCCCGTGACCACAACTGCTGCAAAACATCCGAACGTGGGGCCGTAGTTAAAAATATTTTTTAAACAAGTTAAACTAAAATATATCGCATTTTAAATTGTTAATGTGTTTTATTTAGACGATTAAAATTGTAAGATTAACTAAAATACCATTCATCGTTACACTCTCAATAACGCAATTTTCTATTATGAAAAATGAATACGTTTTAGATACAGAAAATCGTCATATGTACATAAGAAATAAGTGTACTTCATTCACCAAGCCTCAGATGCTGCAAAGCTACCAAGTTGATTTTTGGAAATGCTGTAGTCTTAAAGGTTCCATCGCAAATCTAGGGACAAAAAATACATACGAATTTTCAAATCCAGTACTAGCGAAGAAATAACAGGCAACATGTATATTTTGTAGAAAAGTTTCTCTAAAATAACTAACTAGTAGTACTAGTAACATCGGTGTCATATATATCTCTTACAAACATATCTCTTGCTTGGAAAAAATCGTTATTTAGAGCGATAAGACCGCCGTTTTCTCTACACATTTTTTTATCTTTTTTAAAGTTTGTTTACATTACATTTTTGTGATGACAACGAAGTGGTTTACATTTGTTTTGTTATATAAAAGAGGTGTTTTTGTTGAGGTTAAAAACGGCTTCAGTAAACCGACCATTCCTATTGCATACTTGGAATACTTCTCAATAAGCTTGCGAAACTGATATGTAATAACTAATTGCCCGTTATTACAAATAGCACGAGGTTCAAAACAGGAAATCTTAAATGCTAGTTACGCTAAAC